GCGATTCCCAGCAGTGCCAAGGCGCCGGCGGCGTAGAGCCCGATCTCCCACCGCGGCGGGCTGGAGGCCACTAGAGGGGACAAGGGGCTCCATGAGCTCGTCACCACCCCCGGGCTGAGCCTCAGCCGCTTCCCTGCCAGGAACTCGGCTCCAAGCTCCGAGGATGGGATGGGCCACGCGGGGATTAAACCACAGCTCCCACCCCGGTCAGGCAGCGGCTTTGCCAGCCAAAAGAAGGACAGTTCTGGTGTGGCTTTCTCGGGAGGTGATGTGCTCCTGCATCCCAGCCCCGCTTCCCAGAGAGTGGCTACATGACTCCTGGGATGTCGGGGGTCCCTTCGCCAGCTGCGGCTCCGTCCCGCTTACAGATGTGCCCAGTGCACATCTGCATCGCCCTCGCTGCTACCTGGGTCCCCGTGGGCTGGGGATGCCAGGAAAATCCAGAAATACGGAAAAACCAAACCCAAGAGGTGCTGGGAACGGGGGCAGAGCCCCCCGGGTGCTGCTGGAGCGGGCGGGGAGGGAGCGCCGGGCTCGGCTGCGATGCTCCAGCGAGCCGTTCCTGCTGCATTGCACCAGCCTCCGTCACTCCCGCGCGGAACCGACATCAACCGCTCCGGGGAGCACAAAAATAGCGGGAAAAGAAAGGATTTCTCATCCCGGAGCGCTGCCGAGAAGCCCTCTGGCATCACAGCGCGGCGCTCCCTCCGTCGGAGCCGGAAAAAGCCCAAAGCCAGGCTGAACTCCCACATCGCATACGAGCACAAGCACAACCTGCTGCTCCCCCCAGCCCTCCTCCGGCAGGAACAGCGAAAGGATGAGCAGAAGGAACTGACCATCTGCATCCAGAGCACCTAATCTGGATCCCGAGAGCAGCCCAGAGGGATTTCAGGGGTTAAACCTCGGGGTAGGAGCCAGGCCCTCCTTCCTCCACCTCTCCAAAAACCCCATAAGGACTCTGATTTATCCCTGCAGCCCGGCTAAGGATGCTGGGGGAAGAAGTCAGAGGTTTCCTGTGCCAGTGTTCCCATGCTCCTGCTATGACAGAGAGGCAAAACTGGGCATAAAAATAAAATTGGCAGAATAATCCCTTACTGGCTCCTACTTCTAAGTAACTCCAGGTGCAAGTCCCAGCTGAACTAGAACCTGCTTCTTCCTCATTACCACCCATTTCTGAGGGCTGAGCACTAACATTGGAAAACTTGTGGGGTTTAAGGGTTTGACCCTTGTTTTGGGAAACTAAACCCCATGTCTTAGAGACTTTAAGGGTTTTACCCACATTTTAGTAAACAAAATCCCACAGGCACATGAAGCAGAGAGTTCTCCTGATAGGAAGCAGTGAGGACCAGCCATTTCCCCCCCCCGAAAAACCTCAGTGCAAGCCTGGCCAGCTCTGCCCCAAACCCTTCCCAGGTTCTCTCCAGAGGACTCACCACTGAAGCGGGATCTGCTGATGTGCCCGGTGTCCATGGCAAACACCCCCTGCCAGGGGGATGGCCTGGAATGCGCGAGACACGGCGTGAGGACGAAGGCAAATAATTCAAAGATCGAACGCCTCGAGATTTTCCTGCAGTGAACGTTCCATCGCCGCTCCCCCTCCACTGCTCCTGGCCTTGGCTCCTCTTCCAGGCACTGAGCAAATGCGCTGAAGCCTCTCAGCCAGCGGCAGGAGCTGAAGGAGGGATGGAAACCACTCGGGAAGAGGCAGGGCCGCTCTATTTACCTCGGGAGTGTTTAATGGGTGACATTCCCAACCGCTCTGTGCATGCATTTCCCCCCTCCCCGAGCCCTCAAAGCCCTTTGCTGCTTTTCCAGTTTAAACCTTCCTTCACCTCCTGCAGTTTGTCCAGACTCTCCCGAGGCTCTGCCCTGGCCCCAGGTGAGGGGGGCAGTCCCACTCCCCAATTTTGGGGTTGCTGCAGGTGATGCCATTCCCCAGAAAATCAGCTCCTGCAGTGGGAAAGCTCCAGCACCTTCCCCCCACGAAGGGGTTTTCCCAGTCTAGTCATAGGAGAGATCCATCCTAAGGTAAGGAAGCTGCTCCTCCAGACAGATCCCAGCAAAGGCACCACAGATGCTGAAGGGGATTTACCCAAGCTATTTCCTGCTACACGAAGGGGGTTTGGGATCCCCCAAAACACCCAGCAAAGCAATTCTAACAGGAACTGAGCCAGAATGCTCCCTGGCATCTGAGCCAGGAGATCACAGCCCATGGGATGCTGATGTGATCCCGCAGACTCCCACAGTGACACAACCTCAGCACTGCACCTCAACCCTCTTCCCACCCCTCTCAGAGCCCCCCAGCCCCTCTCCAGAATTTCCACAGCCCCAAAGCCTGCTCATGACACAGGACAAGGAGCTCAGACGGATGATCCACAGTATTTGGGTCTCACCTTCCAGCTCCTCTCGGGTGCTCATAGCTTCAAGCACTATGGGGTGATCAACCCTCCCCAAAACCATCCAGGCTTGGATTTTAATGGGCAAAGGTGGGACTTTCAGAGTGTTATTGAGGAAAACATGAACTCTGCTGGCCTGATCTGGCTGGGGACCCTCTGCAGGGACACATGGCCCACTGTTGGGGTAACAGGAGGAGAGGGGGTCCTAAATGCAACCCAAAAGGACAATGAGGCTGGGGTGGGGCTGAGAGATGCCCAGCCTCCTCCCACCAGCACAAACCTCCCCACGCCATCGATGGAACAGGAATAACCCAGGTGAGAATGTGCTGAACTCGTGTCACACAAGGGCTGAGCTCAGACTAAGGGATACTCTGCTGTTTGGAGCTCAAAACTGACAACAGAGCAACACGATGGAGATTTGACACCTCCTTTTGTGCCCTGAAAAGCTTGGGCATGGGAGCTTCATTCCTTTCCATGTTTCCCAACGTTTGGGGTTTTTTTTTAATTTGAAAACAACAAAGTTTTCAGGACCGAATTCCCCAGCAGGAGGAAAAACCTCCTCTATTGCTTCCCAATTTCTGCTCGAAATTAAAGAGGATTTCTAATTTTCCTTTTCTGTCAGAGCTTCTCCCCCCATAAACTTCCTTCTCTAAGCAGCAAGTTAAGCAGATTTCTGAGGCATCACCTGGAAAGAGACTGCGGTTCTCAGCACTAGGATGAAATCCAGAGACATTTTCTTATTAGGAAAACAGCATCAACCTCTCCCGAGCGAGGAAACAGAGGTGGAGGTGCTGGGGGAAGTATTTACGGCTTTTTTTGTTAACTAAGCTCTTCCCTGGAGCGTTTCACTGAGCTGCTCTGACATCCCCCTGACCTGCTGCTCAAATTCCTGGGAAATCAAACCTGAGGGATTTGGAGGGAACTGGCACCATTCTCCCACTGCCGGCAGCTCAGGGATAGGTGGATTTCTTACCCATAGACCTCAAGGTCGGGGTGCAGAGCCCTGGTTTGGGTGCAGAGCCCCCTCCATCCACCCCAGCATCCCAAAGCTCAGGGCCTGGGCAGCTTCATTTTCCTTGGGAGTTGCTGCAGACCCTAGACACGACCCCTCCCCGAGCACGCTGCAGTCCCCGAATGTCCCAGAGTCCAGGTTCCAGTCCGTCTCCCTGTTCATCCATCCCTCCCTGCCCCTGACACCCGTGCCGGTTGTGCTGAGCCCGGGCTACACTCAGCTCACTGGTGACACTGGTCCTGCGGCTGTGCCCACCCGGGCGGGGCTCTGCCAGCCCCTTCCATCCCCTCGCTGCCCTGCCTGGCCGCCATCCGCAGGGTACAGAAGTGGGATGGGGTTTGCTCCTGGCACAGATAAAGACGCATCCCAAACTTGCCAAAACACAAGGATGTGGGGCTCTGCGCTCACCCATCGCCCCTGCCCGGCCCCTCACAGGGGACCCATCGCACCCCACGGGCACCCAAAACGACGACTCCCATCCCCTGCACCCCCCGTACCGCCCCGTTCCTCCCGCTGCGCTTTACCTGGACAGGTACAAATCCTCGGGGATCTGCGGGGTATCCGCTCCCACGGCGGGGGGAACGCGGCGACCGCCGGGGTCCGCTCCCACGGCGGGGGGGACCGGGCGGAGCCCCCTCCCCTGCCCGGGGGTCCCTGAGCTCAGCCCCGGGATCCAAGGAGCCCCTCCCTCCCGGGATGCTTCCCGGCGGTGGGTGCTGGGCAGAGCCCCCCCTCTCCGCTGCCCGGGGGTCCCTGCGGGTTGGGAGCTCAGCCCGGGATCTCCGCCCCCCTCCAATCCGGGATGCTTCCCGGCGGTGAGAGCGGGAGCGGCTCCGCTCCCTCGCCCTGCCCAGCCCGGGGCGGAGCCGGGCGGCACTGCCCGCTCATCCCTGCGATGAGCTGGGCGGTCTCTGCGCTCGCCAGACCCTCCCCGGGGTTTGGCTTAACCCAGCCCAAACCCCCCAGGGCAGAGGGGGAGCGGGAGATGCTCTGCCCTGCCCGGGGGCGAGGGGTTTGGAGACCCCGGGGAGGGGATGCAGGGGTCTCTCACTCTGATTTGCCTCCCAGGCTGGCAGCTTTCCTTAGGAAGTTGCCATAAAAAAAACTCCAAAACCCACAAAAATCACCCCAAACCCCACAAACCCACCCCAAATCCCAGCCAGGAGCGTGGAGGGGCAATGCCAGCTCCCGCATCCCACACCAGAGGCCCTCGACTGCTTGCAGGCAGCTCTGGGCACAGGGGGCTCCCCCAAATCCCACTTCATGCTGCCCAGGGACTCCCTCGCCCATCCCACTGCACCTCTGCATCTCCAGCTCCTCCTCCTCGTGGATCCTGATGAATGTTTCTCTCCCTGGGGACTCACATCTCCTCCCATTGCCCCCCAAAGCCATTGGGGGGCTGTGGATCATCACCCCAGAGCCAAATCTTCAGGTCCCAAAGAGCTTCCAGCTGAGTGTCCCTCCCGGCCATGCGGACACCTGAGGCCATCCAGCAAGGTCTTGGCTCTGGATGTTCCTAAGAAAACCCATCAGATCCTCTCCCTCTGCAGCGAAAGGTGCAACCTTTTGTGATTTGGCCCAAAAAGCCCCTTGGGCAGTTTGGAGACCAAAGGCTCTGTGCCCACCACACCTGTGACCATCGACCACACTGCCTACACACCATCCCAGGGGATCTTCCGTTTCCCTGCCTTCACATCCATGTTTTCAACCACCTTACCTAAAATGCCAGGTGACTTCCAGGGCATTAAGGAGTTGCTTCAGACAGCAGGAGAATCGCTTTGCTTGGAGAAAACTGAATAATTGCAATTTTGTGGGGAGCAAATCCCAGGCACCCTGAGCAAACCTGGTCTCAGGGGCCACGGAGCACTGTGACATTCCAGAGGAGCTGTAATTCCCAGGAACGCCCATGACATTTAGCCGCAGGGCCAGCCCAACCCCTGCTGCAGCTCCCTGCTCCGAGGCAAGGCAGCACTGGGGATGGTCCCACAGTCTTCCCGGTGGGGAGATCATTTACAGAGAGAAAAGAGAGCAAGTTTTGACTGTGCCAAAAACGTTGCCTGGGTGGGGGGAGCTGCCTCGTCCTGCAGCCAAGGGTCCTTTCCATTGGGTTTCCTGTCCCTTCCTCTGGGTGCAGCTGGAAAAGAGCAGGTCACAGTCCTTTCCCAGCTCCCAAGCTTCCTCTGCATCCCCAATGACGTGGCAGGGTGTCCCCTCCAGGGCACAGCCCAGGATCCAGCACCCTCCTGCAGGGCTCCAGCCTCAGGGAAAAGGTGACCCCCCTGAGCTGTTCTGAACAGGATGGGGTTGGGATGAGGTTTGGAAATCTACCAAGGCCCCATCTGGGCACCTGGATTTATCCAGCCTCACACAGGCAGCAACTCACCTACTGAACATTCCTCCCTTTTAAAGCCAACACTTACCTTTGGTCAGCATCATTATGAAGTCAGGCTGTAACCACAGGTGGGACAGACTTGTTCTAGCTTCCTGACCCAGGAGAGTTGGATACAGCTGTGTGTGGAAGCAGGAGCCTGCCACCTCTGCCCTCTTCACAGGGATGGTCCTAAAACATCATTCCCATGAGGCCTGTTGGCTTCCTTTCACCCCCTCCCCATGAGACTGCTTTGAGCACTTCAAGGCGATCACAGAGGGATTCCTAAATCCAGGTGAGTTTGCAGTGATCAGAGCCCACCTTTTTCCCTGAAAACTTGGGCGTGTTCCTTACCTGGAGGCGCAGCATCCATCATCCATCCATTGTGGTGAGGGTGGGGACACAGCCCGAGCCCCAGCAGCCCCCCAGCTCCACGTGTGAGGTGACAAGAGGACCCAAGGGAACACATTTTCCCAGGGAACACGCTGCACACTGGGCTTTATTACACAGGCAGGATCCAGGCTATCCCTAGCAGCTGTCAGATGGATGCAGACAAGTCAGTGTTTCCCGTACTAGCTAAAAATCTCCAGGATATTTCAGGCACAGCAGGGATTCCTCACCAGGTGATGCCAGTGCAGGCCCTCTGGTGGGAGGGGTGTGCAGTAACAGGTCCCCCTGGCTCACCTCACCACCACCCCAACTGGTGATCCAAGAATTCCACACTGCCCATTGCCCTTTTTTTATGGCTGGGAAGTACCTGGGACACTAAAGCTGGGAAAAAAGCAGCTGTTGGTTGTCATTCCCATACAAGACCAAACCGGATTAAAAGTGCGGACGTTTGCCAGGCAGCGGCTCTGCAAGCTCCTGCCACTTCCAAAACCTAGGGTTACACCCTCACAATTATACTGTGGCCTTTGTGTCATTTTCCTCTAGATAAACACTTCCCTGGGAGACACCCTTTGGCAGCCTGATTGGATCAGAGCATTTAAGCAGTGACAGGGTGACACCAGTGCCCAGGACAGCGCCGCGAGGGCTCAGAGCAGAGGGCACAGAATCCGTGCTCACTGGAGCTCTTATAGTTTGGAATAATGACCTGGGAAAAAAAAAGCAGCCCAGGTTTCCAATTCCTTTTCCAGGATGCTGAGTCACCAGCAGGAACACTGCCTGGCTCAGGATGCTCAGAACCTCCCTGGCCACATTGCTTGGCCTGGGCCTGCTGCTGGCAGGGAGGTGGCACAGGGACAGAGGACGGGTGTGGAACTGCAGGGAACAGCTTTTCCAGCTGGACTCAAGAGATTCCTCACTCTGGAGCTACCCCGGGAGGAACAGGATGAAGGGTGGTAGAACCTGAGTATGTCAGAGCCCAGGAGTGAGACCCGCCTGATGAGGACACAAACCCAGCTGAGGACAAGGCAAATAACTTCAGACTGACGGAGCAACTCCCAGTTTCCGCTTGTGACACATTTTACTCCGCAGAGCGAAGGCAGGTTGACCTTTCTCACTTCACCTTCCCTTACATTTAAGAGATGACCAAGACTAAAAGAGTAAATTAAAAATAAGAGCTAAGGGGAAGCTGCCTGTCTCCCCAGAGCTGTGATACACCACGAAACTACCACAGGCCGCTCCAGGACGTCGGAAGTCAGTCAGATCCCCCACGGAGGGGTTGGACCAGCAGTGCAGTGTGGTTCATCCTGTGCAAGGAGCAGCTTGGTCACAGGGCTCAGTCCACCTGCGTTCCTCTCACCAAACACTTCGCCCAATCCCCCTCCACAGCTCCAGGTAGTTTCAGCAGGAAGGAAAGAATCCGTTTCCCGTGCCTGGTCTCTGCACACCCCAGAACAAGTGTTCCTGATGCCTGAACGCCTCGTGGAACTCTCAGAGCTCTCTGGGAACAGAGCAGCAGATCCCTGTGTGCTGTGCTCTGAGCCCCCCCACCTCCACACCTGGTTTGGAGGACACACAGCACCCGCAGGAGGTCCTTGTTGTGCGGTGTTGGCTCTGACTTCCCTCCACGCAGACCTTCTCTGGCGACACGAGGAGAAAGGGGGGGGTATGTCCATGCCATCCTTCCCCCAGGGGATTCCCACAGGCTGGAACACTAACAATGACAATTAGGAGTTAGGATGAGGTTGGGACTGTGCCCCAGGCCCGCTCGAGCACCACGAGTTCCCGTCAGCCCCGTGGCTGCTGCTCAGAGTTTCCTCTCCCGGGGTTTGTTCCCGTTGGGCTCATCCAGCTGTGCCAAATGTCGGTCCCCGTTGCTCAGGCATTTGTCCTTCTCATGCCTGTGCTCCTGCTTCTGCCGCCGGATCTCCTTGTACCGCAGGGTGATGTCCCTGCAGCAAACACACAGCACACAGCTCCAGCTTGCAGGATGAGCAGTAAGGAAGCCTGCCCTGAATGAAGCTCCCTTGGGATAACTCAACCCACTGGACCCCTCAGCTCACATTTCTACAAGTGCTGATGGCACTGAGCCACTGGAAGTTTGTGTTTCTTGCTGGTGGCCTGGCTCTTCTCACCTCTGCCACAGCACAACAGACACTGCTGCCTCCTGCACTCATCACCACAGTTCAAGGAATCATGGAATGGTTTGTGTGGGAAGAGACCTTAAAGCCCATCCTGTGCCATCCCCTGCCTTGGGATACCTTCCACTATCCCAGTTGCTCCAAGCCCCATCCAACCTGGCCTTGGACACTTCCAGGGATGGGGCAGCCACAGCTTCTCTGGGCAACCTGTGCCAGGGCCTCCCCACCCTCACAGGGAACAATTCCTTCCCAATATCCCATCTAACTCTGCCCTCTGGCACTGTGAAGCCATTTCCCCTCATCCTGTCACTCCACCTCCTCACATGCAGAGTCCCTCTTCAGTTTCCTTGTAGGCCCCTTCCAATACTGGAAGACTACCAGCTCCTTGAGCCCTGTGCAGCTGCTTTCCATGGACTCGCTCAGAGCAGCATCCAAACCACCACACATCTCACTCAGCTCCCTTGTCCTGACACTGGCACAGCTTGGACAACCACAGGCTGTTCTGGCAATGAAGCTGGAAACACCTCAGTCTGGTCTAACTTGGAGGGAAAATAAAACCCCGATCCCATTTCCCACCTCACACCAAGCCAGCCGCAGCCACCCGGGAGAGCTGTGCTCCCCCTCCAGGAACAGCACCTTTGAGGAGGGGCTGTGGAACAATCCCCCCTAAACCCCAAATGCAGCACGTCCCACCCCGCTCACCGGATGAAGAAGCGCCAGGCTGTCCAGGTGAGCACCAGGATAATTCCCAGGATCCAGCACTGGGTGATGTAGAAGGGCAGGGAGAGCGTGAGTGTGTAGGGATCGTACTTGACCACGATCAGGAACTCCGTGGCAGTAATAGCAGCAACCAGCCAGGCCTGTTGGCCCAGCTTCTTGTGGAACTTCCTGCAAATGAAACACACAGATAAGACATTTCCTTGCTGTCAAATGAAGGATTCGGAGAAACCTCCATAAAAAGACAGCTGGGAGAGCAATTTCAGTCAGCTTTGCACAGTCCTGCAAGTCTAGTTTGGATCACACATGCATTAAAGGCTGTGCAGGCTGACAACTTTCATATTGTTGTTACTTTAGTTTCCTCTCAGGGGCTCTGAAAACACATGAAAAGTTAAACTTCATCCCCACACGACGCAGGGAAGTGTCCCCATGCTCGGGTAATCCACATGAATCAATTATCTGACCAGCCTGTGGCCAGCAGATGTTCAGGGTATGGTACCAAACAGGAGCTCTGCCCCTGCAGTGCCTCTGCAAGCATCAGCCACGCTGCCCTAAACATATTTAATCCTTCTGGGATTGCATTCTGGAACTTCATCTCTTCTCAAAAAAAGTATTCAGGGAGCTGCCACTACTGATCTTGGAATGCGTTTTAAAGGAAAAAAGGTTTAGTAACAACAGGCAAGATTCTGGGAGACCCAAAGACTGTGTTTCACTTCCAGGGCAAACCAGTTCTGGGATAAACACGTGATTCCCAGGTTTGCCTGGAGCAGGCCAGGAAAGCTGTGGAGTCTAGGGATGCCTGGGAGCAATGCTGGAAGTTCTGCTGCAGCAGCACCAAGGTATCCACCCAGGGGCTCTGATGTAAAGTAAACTTGATTTTTTTCTACATAATAATAAATTTTCTGATGTGATTATGCTTCTGCCAGCGGTACAGAGTATAGCTTGTCTGACGTGGCTGAAAACTAATGAACCTAAATTAAATAAATGGCATTTCTGGCTCAGGAAGTCACACATCTCTTGTGACAAAAAGGCTCTTTCACTTTAAAAACTAAAAATCTTACTTAACAAAATACTGAAAGTAAAATTTTTTTTTTGTATCCATCAGACATGTCTGTAGTCATTTACACCCCCCAGATACCAGCCTAAAGTTAAAAAAAAAAAAACCAAACCAGAAAAAATACCCACAAAACATACAGCTATATATAAAAAAAATCCATATAGTTATACATATATTATAGTTGGTAGGAATATATTTCATCTGTTTCTGTAAGCAGTGAAATGGGAAAAGAAATGCCAAGTACCCCAAACAGCAAAGAAATATAGGATAGAAACTAAAATTTACTGCCGCAGTAGTAGAGAGTGATGGTTAAGTTTTATCATTAATTTATCTTGAAATACTAAAGGAAACTCTCACACAGCCTTTGCTGTAATCAATATTTATGGAAAAATGGAGTCTAGGAAAGGCATCAGCTGTATTCCTGGTTTCTAAAGAAGTAAAAGGTGATGGGAAGGTCTCAGGAAGCCTCATTCCTGGTAACAGCCTGCACTAGAAACCTGGGAAAGCTGCTGACCTGCACTAGGAGGATGCTCCCTCTTGCCTTACCCACACATGTCCTTCTGGGGGTTTTCCCCCCAAGGCATCCATTCTGCTGCCTCTCATATTCCCATTGCTCATATCTGCTCCCATCCCCTTGGACTGTCAGTGCCTGGGAAGGGATCTGAGCACGGAAATCCAACAGAGCTTCTCCTCCCTCTCCTGAATGCAGGGAGTCCATCTCCCCACAACACACACAGCTTCTTATCCACAAGGCCCAGAGTCATATTTGACACCAATGAACAGTTCAAACTGCACCAAATCATCCAAATGCACTGGGAAAAATAGGAAATACATCAAGTGTAGGTGATTGCTAAGGCAGAGGGGATGAGTGTATTCCATTTGAAAGGTCTCCTGCCTGGATCATCTCAGATGAAAGGCTTCAGAATCTGCTCCAGGGGGTTCAGGTGGTGTGACAGATTAAATGGGCAAAGACCAGCCTTAACCACTGGCAGAGATATAAAAGGAAGCAGCCAATCTCTCCCTGGGAATTCCAGCTGTTCAGACGATGAGGGCAGTTTTCTGCTCTCCTTCTTCCTCTGCCAGCAGGGCAACAGATGACAGACAGAATTAAAGGCAACCCCAACACAAGAGCCAGGTAGACCCTAAAGCTGCTGAGGAAGAGACTTGGTTTCCTGCCCTTCTACTCGTGGAAGATTTTAAAGAAAAGCCCTTTTTTCACGTGACGAGCGAGATTAAAATTCCTGGCCTTTGTGCCAGGACTTCCAAGACTCCTTGGAAGAGACAGGAAGACTATAGGCAGGAATGTATGGCAAGCTCAAATGCCGCAGACTGTTGCACCAGGACATTCCTGGTCAGGAAGATTTCACACCTCCAGTCCTCAGGAACTCGGAAGCAGGGTGTGGATCAGCGTGGTGTGTAAGGGCTGGAGGACAGCTTCACCCTTCCTCCTGGACTATGGCAATTCCAGGGACTCCACTGGCACCATGCTCAGCCCAAGGTCCTGAAAGCAAAGCCTCAGAACTGCCTGCAGATCCTCAGAATCCTGAGTGGGAAGAAGAGCCTTCATACTGGAATTTCACTGCTTTCTAGACCCAGTATTGCAGGGTTGGCTGAAGAGATCTCATCCATTTATTCCAGACAATCCTATCACCACCAGACATGGCAGTGAGCAAAGCTTCTGTCGAGGTCAATGGAATATTCCAATCTCTGAGCATTAAGCTTTCAATAGGAAAAGGTCAGGAAGGTTTCCCATGTGTTGTTAGCTGGGAGCCTCTGGTACAGCCAGCTCTTCCCAGCAGCTTCTACCTACACAACCAAGGGAAGAATCCTCAATGATCCTGGGTTTGATATGACATGCAAGTGAAGCTCCTAAATGGGGGCAGATTTTCTCTGCCTGGAACACACAAAGGAATTGAAGGCTGGTTGCAAAATCCTCCACAGAGAAGGTACCAGGTAAGACCAGGTGCTCAGTTCTGCAGGACCAGCCCGATGTCAGCTCTGAGGGGCATCAAGCAGAGCCAGGAACCTCAGAATTTGGGGGCAGTTACCCACCACAGAACATGGCAGGAGGTGGTGGCAATGATGTGGATGTGCAGCTTGGGATGGGTTTCTCCAGCTCGTAGGAAGAATGGCACCAAATGGCACCAGGAATGAGGCACAGGTGACAGATGGCTCTCTTAAACTGCAGTGCTATGCCACGTGGCTGAACTGAGGGCAGAGGAGCTTTTCCAACCCAAACACAAGGCCCAGAAGATGAATGGAGCTAAGGAGAGGAGCTCAGCAGTGAGAGGCAGAGACCTCTTCTTACCTGTGAGTTGGAGGCACGTCCCAAACCAGTAGGTCCAAGGGCAGGGCAGCTGCCACTGCGGAATGTCCTGAAATCCGCCTAAGCAATGTGGGCTGGCCCTTCTTCCCAGTTCTAGGAGCCAAAGCCTTGCAAGGGAAACTGATCTTCAGAGAATGTTGGAACCCTAAATTCTGAACACAGACACTTTTTGTGTTGGTCAGCGACAGACAATGAACACCCCTGGAAGCCAGGCGTGGCCTCAGGCTTAGGATGTGGGCTCAGGCAGGTTGTGACATTAAAAGAAAAGGTGGCATTTGAGAACAAAGCTTTCTCAGCTCTCACATGGTCTGCAGAAACAAAAGCAGCGAGGACAAATATGATGCTGGAGTGGGAACAGTCTGAAGAACATGCACTGTGTGTGCGGTGCTTCACCTGCAGCACCTGCTACCGAGGGCCTCTGACCTGAAAGAGGATGCCAGGAGAGCTCCAGAGGGCCAGGGACCAGTGGGAACATGGCTCAAGGAGAGAAGTGCCTTTAGGAATCCCTTTTTTTTCTTTTTGTTTTGGGCCCCGATGTCCTTAGAAGGCACGTCCAAGGACTGCAGTTCCTGGCTCTCAGTCTTGGATAGGAGCACAGCGCTGCCCTGCCCACGAGCCAGTGGCACTCCAGCTCCTTCACACATTCCACTCTCCACAGAGAGACCCTTTATGAAACACTGAGCTCGGAACAGTGCACACAGAACGCCCTTAACAACAGCTGCCCTCTGACCAGGGAGAGTGGGACCTCCAAAACAAAGGAACACAAAGCAGATGCTTTGGGATTTAGGCCTTTTTGCCCCTGACAAGCTGCCTGAGATGGATGCCAACAAGCTGGAGCCAATTCCAAACAAAGCACGTGGAGCTGGACATGGGAAATACAGAGAGGTTGGGCTTACGGGTCGTCCATGAAGTCGTAGATCTCCCTCATGGCCACCCCTCCCACGTTCACAAAAAACACCAGGCGCAGCAGGACCAAGTAGTGTTCTGGGGGCATCCACAGCACAAACTTCAGGTAAAATGTGTTCAGCTCTGCCAACAAAAACTGAGAGAAAGGACATCTTAATTACATTGAAAAAACCTCAGTGGATGGAGCCTGGAATCCCACCCCCCACCTTTCCCAGTCCTGCTCAGTATCATCCTGAGTGAACCACCAGCAGCTTCAACAATCACCACCAACAGCTGGGTTTTAAACGTTTTCTCTGTGTTGGAAGAGACACCAAAAACCACAACAGAAAGCTGGCAAGCGCTGCCTCAAGTTTTGAGCAAGTTCCTGAACTCCAAAAAAGGAGCAACAACTTCTCCTTCCACTGTCATTTAAAATCTGGCTGATGGATAACAAGAGACATGAGCTGCACATCCTTTTGGGGTGGGGAGGGGAGAGTTGATTTGTGTTTTTTCACACAGTTGTGCAAATGTCACCCTCAAAAATTTATAGGTTATAAATTAAGAGCAAAATGTTCCCAGGTGGGCTGCCCTGGCAATGAGCTGAAGGGAGCAAAGAGACCTCAGACTGTCACTTCAAAAGGAATGATAACAAAGGGCATTAAGCATTGCTTAAGCCAAAGGAGTGAGCCAAAACCTGAAGCTGCTTAGAAACTGTCAGCTGAAGCTGAGTTTTGCTAAAAGAAACGTAATCCCACAGTCCAGAATAAACCCACTGGAATCTCAGCTGCTGCAGCACCTAAACCCCAGTGTCCTCAGGGTGCAACCAGTAACCATTTGGGGAAACACCTGTTTTATTTAGACACTCTTTTCCTTCTCCCACAAAGCAGGGGAGCCTCAGCAAGCCTGGTGTGCCGTGTGAGCTTGGCCAATGTTTCCTGCAGCAGAAACCAGGCACTGTGAGCTTCTTCTAGCAAGTTCTGGATTAAAAATACAGAGGTATGTCCTGAGCCACAGCAAATGTTTAATGCCCTGTGTCACCACAAATGTCACGGGGTGGTTTTTAGTTAAATTTCACAGTTGCTGGGTTGGAACATGTTTGAGTTGCCCAGAGCAGAGCCAAGTGGCATCCCACGGATGGCACAAAGGCCAAAGTCCCCTGTGCTGGGAAAGGGGCAGGAGTGGACAAAAGACACTCAGCCTGCCCCATTAACCCTCCCTATCAGTGTCATGTGGGTGATAACTTCTGTTTCCCAGTCACAGGTATGGATTCCAGGCGCTGCACTCCCACAAAACAAATCTAGCCACTCAGGTGCTAAGTGTTCAGTGAGGCATAAAAAGACAAAAATCTAGGGTAATTGAATTATTTAAGCCTGTATAAAAATATTATTTATGTATATTATTATTCAAAAATTACACACAATATATATTTTAAATTATGTATTATTGTTCAAAATATTATATTTTTAATTATTTAAGCCTGTATAAACATATTACCAGAGGCAGTACTGCGCTCCAGGAGCTTGAGTACAGCCCTTTCCAGCTGCATTGCGACCTGTACCTGTATAAAACTGAGGGAAACGAGCCCTCACACCCCAAACCAATGCTTTTGGGGGCAGAAACTTGCTGAAATATGTGCAGATCCCAGTTAGTACCGCTCACAGTGCCAGCAACAGCGTTCAGCAAATATCTGTGCCACGAATCCGTTACCTGTCCCAGAGACACGGACACAGGCCCCAGTCCTGTGGGATTGGGAAGGGATCTCTTCTGGCCTCAGCTCCAGGAATATCACCTCCCAGGGGTGCAGCCCGAGTCACCCTGTGCCACAAACCAGGAAATCAGGGCAGAAGGGCCAGAGAGGTTTCCTCACCACAAAGATGATGCCACAAACGGCGAGCCATCTGCGCAGGCTGGACGCCGGTTTCCACTCGAACTTCACCCAACTGTAGGGGGTGAACTGGAAGACAATTCTCTTCATTTTGCCCCTGAGAAAGAGCAAAACATGACAGCAGGTTTAATAAAAAGCAGGTAGGAGACATCGAGCAGTGTTTCCATTTCAGACACCAAGTCAGGTCTACAAAATGCCCACGTTTACTCCATCAAAATCACAGTTTAATGAGATTAACTCTGAGTTAGAGAAGCTTGTTATTTTAACTATCAATTTAAACTTTAATACGCTACAGCTGCTGTTGTCAGTAGTTCTGCTCTGCTCAGCAAAGACACTGCAGAGCAGGATGGGTCATTACTGGGACATGACTACAAGGGATTTATTAAATTTTAACTCCCACTGTCCCAATTCCTGTGAAGTTGTGATTACCAGGGAATGCATGAAGACCAAGAAGATCCTTGCTGTGAATGAGAGTATGATCACAATTTGGATTCCTGCCTCTTCTTTAACAACTGCCTTAAATAAGCTCATTTCCACAGGATGCCCTCATTCCTAAGCATCAGGACACATCGCTGTATTTCCACCAAGTCCATTCTCAAGTTAAATAAAACCCTCAAACAAGCCTCCCTGTAGCAATAAATCATTAAGTCCTCAAGCCATCTGAACACCCAGGAATTCTGTAACCCACACGAAGCCAAATCGAACAACCAAGACCTGGAGCACGGGCCCAACCTTTGTGCTCTGCCTGTGGAGTTCCTTCCCCCCTCAACTTACTTGTAGGTGGGAATATTCCAGAGTCCTTGCCACTTGTATGTTTTCAAGGAAAGCCAGGACAGAGTCTTCATCCCGCAGTAAATTCCTAATCCGTTACATAGGATCACATCCATTATCCACTGGAAGGAGAAAACACACCATGATGCTGGGGAAGGAACAGGGAATTGTCACAGGTACAGCCCCCCTTTCAAAGGAGGGGGGAACAGAGTGTTAATTCCAAAAGGTTTCCTGAAGGCAAAATAGCTTTGCTTGGTGTCTTCATACATAATGCATTGACTTTTATAAATACAGCCGTGGAACAAATCATTCCGAGCTTGGGAAAGAGCTTTAACTGTAAAAACCCAGGCAGACACGAGATCTGAGCTGTGTGCTCTGACTGCAGAGAATTCTGATCACTCTGGCACCCATTTACATCTCACAGAAAAGCAAAGCATAATTTAAAAAGGGTGTCCCTTTCAGTCCCTCTGGGTTGGAAAAGTACACACAAACTGTATTTTAGGACAAGAATACAAACCATAACTTGCAATGACCACACAGCTCTTCAGTAAGGCCGAACATTTATCTCTTAAAATCTTTTTATAAACCAGAAACATTCCAGACACAGCAATATTTACTGCTTTCAGAAAGGAGAGGTTTGCAAAGAAGGAAGAGCTGGATAAAAATTACACTGAGTTCTGGTTGTTGGTTTTTTTTCCTAACAGGCAAGAAAAATCATCCTCTGAAACTTTATGCACCAAGTTTTTCTGAATTTCAGACTTCCTGTTTTGTACTCTCAGCAAATATTTGAAAGTGTTCAGCTTTAGATTCTTTCCCTGCTGTGAAATGAACGCAAACAAAACATTTATGATGTGCAAGGGCTCGAAACCCACAAAATTACAGAAACAGTGGCAAAAAGGCTACAAAACACACAGAGACATGAACCAATTCAGCTCTCACCACTTCCTACCCCTCCCTATAAAATATATATATTCCCATTTAAACCCTAGTCCCTGTGGTACGTACATGATCCCACCAGCATTCACTGAAGTTTGGGAGCTGGTGTTCCAGGCTGTACTCCAGGAACTCAAACATGACACTGATGATCATGCACATCCACCAGTCCCGAATCATCAACGTCTAAAGGCAGGGAAAAAACAAAAAAAGCCTTTCAAACACCCACAACAGCTGGTCAAAACCACCCTAAAAACAACCTGCACACCAGAGAGGGAGCAGAACTAGACACTGCTTACCTTAATGCCCTTTAGAAATCTAAATAACAGAGCATTCCATAAATCCCGGTCAGACTCTGCTCAGAGTTAGAGTTTTGCAACGGTGTATGAAACATTATCACTTTTTATTTCCCTAGTTTCCAAACTTCTGGCCTCAGAACACAAAAGGACACACGTGGTGTGGGTTTTTTACTGGTTATTTTTTTACCAGTACAGCTGAAAATCTTGTCTCCAGCGCTCAGAAAAGGATCAGGAAACTCAGGACAATTTGATTTCTGTGCTGTGATGGTCCCGTAAAGCCAAACGCTCACAGGCCTCTCAACTTTGCACATATTCAGCACAAGAGACAAAGGCGTTGAGGGAGATTAACTCTCCCCCAGCCAAAACCAGCACAGAAATGCAGATGATGGCATAAATCCCAGCCCATGGAAGAGCAGAGACAGGTAAGATGGGATTCAGCAGGAAGAGATTTAGTTAAGTGCAAGGAATTGCTGGGTGCTTGACCACCACAGGCAGCAAGGTTCCAACACTGCTCAAGAGAGGCTTTTTCAGAGCCTTTTCGTGGGATCTAGATTACTCCAAAGCCAAAATAATTTCTGATGAATGAGGTACATTCATTCCCAATATTGCCAATATTCCCAGTATTGACATCTGGGGGAAGACCCAAACCCATGCCCACCCTCTGTTTATTGGGACAACACACTCAACCTCCAGCTTGTAAGAGAGAAATATATTAATATTTAACATATTTAACAGGCAAGTACGTTGTGACCCAGAGGAAATCCAGCAGCCAGTTTCCTCCCAGCTGAGCAGCCCAGGAACAAACCCCTGGAGGGGTCACCTCAACCATGGCTGCTCTTTGACAGTCTCTTTGACAAAAGCCAGGCTTTTCCAGACCAAGACAAGAACAGCTCCACTGGCATATGGAATTCTATCCCACTCCAGTGCCTCAGGAATGTGTTACTACTCCCCTTATGTCTTGTTACCAGGCACTTACAATTTAGGCATCATGGCAATTTTTTTCCCACAATTTAGGCATTTTTCCTCAGTGTAATTTATTTGTAAAAAAAACCACAGAACATAACTGAAATGCTATTTTGACATTTAAATTTCTAATTCGTTTCTCTTGGATGAGAAAGATCCAAGTTTTCCAAATTTACAACTCAGTTCATTAACAGAACAAGCCACCAATAAGCTGAAGTCCAGGTCTCCCCGTGCCCAGCAAACTCACCTTTGCTTATGGGGGAAACATCAAACCAACCCAAACCACTCCCAGAACACATCTGCACTTTTGAAATAAAAACACAAAACAAAATCCCCAGCTTGTTTTTAAGACAGCTGAGCTCTGTCAGATTGTTATTTATGGTGGGCTTGTGGGTAAAAACCCACACAAGGTCTGCAGGGGGCAAAATCAAGTGAGTTAGTAAGTCTGCTCTAGTTTAAAAAAAATAATATTTAGAACCAAAATAACCAGCAAACCACGTGCTGAATGTTTTGCAAGAGAAGCACAGCTGGAATTTCTTCCACAGTTGGTTGATAGTGACTTAAAAAGTAACAAGAATTAAATCACTGCCCATTTAATGGTTTAAAATCCTGATTTGATGCCACTGGGAAAGAAGCAGTAGCAGCCTATCATAACATTGAGTGTTTGGGAACAGCAGACTGTCCCTGCCTGTCCCACACTCCACTTCCAAAGGTCAGCCCAGCATTTCTTGCCACAGGAATAAAGGTCTTTATTGATCTGCCCCAGAATGAAACCCAGTGCAGGAGGGAGCCTGTCCTTGTAACAAAGCTTTGGCAAGGAATGAGGTGGCCCAATGTGGGCAGGAGAAAGGGAAAAAAAAAGGGGGGAAAAAGGTTTTTCATGTGTTCATAACACAGCCTGGGACAACCGACCAAGGCCTGCCTGGCACCACTACAGAAGCAGTAGTGAGGCTTTAAGGGGAACACAAGAGCCATTCTTACCTTCAGGTACCAGCCAAAAAAGTGAGCAGGAACAAATCCATCCAGCTTGTCCTGGAATCCAAGAACAGAGTGTAGGTCACTACACTACAAAAACAGTCATGTTTTCGGGTTTTTTTATTTCCCAAAGAAAAATGCAGCCATGAACTTCTGTTGTTTCACACATAAACACTTGATGGATTTTAGGAGGTTTTGTTCCCAAGAACAGGGATGAAACAAGCTAAGACAGCAATTTTATGGGGCAGAAATTGAGATTAGGTTGGTGTTGGTAGAGCAGAGACCACCTCTTTAATGCTGAACGTCCTGTTCCTTGCCTGATGAGGGGACAGAAGCAATCAGAGAGCTGTAAATAACCATAATTGCTTTGCCCTTGAATTTCAACTCTTCTGTCTGCCAGCAAAAACCAACAACCTGATGGTTCCTGGCACTCAGAAAAGTGCAGCTTATGTTGCTGGAGCAACCTGGCTTAGTGGAAAGTACCCCTGCCCAGGGCAAGGAGCTGGAACTACATCTTCCTTAAGGTCCTTTCCAACCCAAACCATTCTGGGATGAACTTTGTGCCTCAAGGTGACCGAGTAGAAGACTCTTTGAGCGCCCAAAGAAATCCGAACTCTGAGTGGAAAATTCGACATCAGTAACCTGAGAAAGAAGGGCTGTTAAACAGTTCACCCCTGGGCAATCAGGATCCAGGGACACATCTCCATCTGATGGACAGGGAAGGTCAAGAGAAGGGAAATAAGGCAGCTGAAGAGTCAGTCATGGCCTCTGCTCTGACTCAACACTCAGACTCACCACTACATTTTGAAGAGCTCAGTGAAGCAACCTTTTAACAAAAACACAGACTCCATTGAGTTTGTTCCTTACCCAGATGTTGTGAAAGGGATCCGTTTCATTGCCAGGGTCATAAATAAGGCAGTTGCCCCCATAGTCTCTTTCTGGCAGAGGAACCCCTAAATGTGGGTCAATGTACTTCATAAACTTCCTCCCATCCTGCACAGTCTGCAAAGGACAACAGAAACGAGGGGTCCACACAAAAGATCCGTGCACAGAAGGTACAAAGAGAATTAAGATCAACAAGGACCTTTAAATTGATCTGTTTGCAAACCCATTGCGGAACAACCCTTGAAATACATCCAGGTTTTGAAGCCTCACACATACACCTGACTTTGAGCCTCTCTACTCCTACACAGTGAGGGAAAAATGCCTACAGAACGACCTTACTATTTCTTAAAGGTGAGAAATCAGTGATCCTTAAACCTGCTCCCCTAAGGCGCTGCTCTGAGCCACCCCATCCCTCCCAAAACCTCTGCACAGCTCATCCTTCCCAACACCACAGTAAAGGATGTGTGACAGGCTGGAAGGAAGCAGCAAGAAGAAATTACCCAAACGACCAAAACCTATAAAAATTTGCCTGCAAATCAGCCACATGTTTGCTGAGCATTAATTTCCCAATGAAATTGCTCAGGGGTTGCGGTCAGGATTTCACCCCACAAGCACTGGGGCATCTGTGACAGGTGGCAAAGCAGGACAAGGCCAACATTAATTGACAGAGCAACAACAAAATTATAGAATAAGCCCACTGAGACAAGTCTCAGCCATGAGCCAGTTTGTATTTTGCTGTAAGGAAGTTCAGTCACCTGCAGACTCAGCAGAATTTAACCTTATTTAAACCTGGGCAAGGTAATGATGTATTTTTAGAAAGAGCTGAGCAACAACAGGAAGTTCCTTCACCACTACATCTCTGGTGACACCATAGGCTGCCAGAGGAAAGCAGAGCCATTCCAGGCTTTTCTTCTGGAGTTCACAACTAAACCAGTATAGGCAAGCAGAACAAGAAATGCTGGAACCAAAGGAAATCTCTGATGAGCTGGAAAGGGTTTGATCAATACTGAAACCTTGTTTGCACATCAGAGGCCCTACTCCAGCAGCAGGCAGATCCCACACATCCCAATTCCAGCCCCACTTCCTCAAGTGATGTGGCCTCTAAAGGTAAACCTTTTCTTTTTTTTTTTTTTTTTAAAAAAGCACGTTCCTCATCCTTCTCTTGCCTAAAATGATTTTTAAAGCTGCCTGATGAGTATATTATCTCAAAACATTTCTTTCAACCTCTGCCCTTCTGAGAAGTGATGGGACTGTAAATTCAGGGGGAAATTCTGTTTACTAAAGAAGGACAAGATATGGTAAAATGTGGTAAAAAACCCAATATGGCAAAAAATGCTTTATTTGGAAGAACCAGTGCCATGTCTTTTCCTAGAAAAACCCTCCTCCTCAGCTCCTGCCACCAGACAAAGCTGGGTGTGAAGGTCTGGCTTATTGTAAAAACCCCAAATATTCAAAGCACCTGTCATTCAAGGTAAAAGGTATTTCAGAAGGTGAAACCAGATTCATTCCCCTCCAAGTCACAGCAGGCCCAGCAGAGGAAAGGCTGGGTGTGTGAAAACCCCACTCCTGACTGTTCGATCTGAACAAGAGCCAGCTCATCTAAGAACACTTTACCCCAGTGTCTGCCCTGGGCTGAGGGCACCCAGGGGGTCAGAGCAGGTGAAATATTTTTATATTATAATTTCCCTCAGCCTCCAAGTCTCGTTAAACAGCCCAATGATCCGATTTCACAAAACTGAAGAGCATCTCCTGCTGTCGGTGAAAAAAAACACACCACAAGGGAGTTGATCTCCACACTGAAGTGGCATTTCAGAACTGGAGGTTTAAGTCACTTACCTGGAAGAGGATGAAAATGAGGAAGAGCTCATACACCACACTGACACACAACCAAAACCTCCAGTAAGCTGCAGAGAGAGATTGGGGGGGGGGATGTTACAAAGTATTCAATAAACCAGCAGTTAATTATTCATTTACTGCAGTACCACTAAACACGGAATCCTGGAATGGGTTGGGTGGGAAGAGACCTTAAAGCCTATCCAGTCCCACCCCCTGCTCCTTCCACTAGCCCAGGTTGCTCCAAGCCCTGTCCAATCTGGCCTGGAAAACTTCCAGGGATGGGGCAGCCACAGTTTCTCTGGGAAACGATTTCGTTTCAAGAGATGCTCCCACCAAGAAGTTACAAATCCCAGCTCCCAAGCACGGTGTTCCCCACCCCTCCTGAGGGATACAGCCAGAAAGGACTTTCAACTCCCATACAGGCTACTGTGAAAACTTGCTGGAATTGCTCTGGCACTGACCTGGATCTGGGAGAAGGGACCAGGATTCAGAACACTTCCACCCAACAAAACACTTCCCAGTTAGGGATCAGAATCTAGCAGTCCTTGGAAAAGAACTAGATCCTTCCTCAACACTCTCCCTGATCTCAGGTGCCCTGACCCGTCCAACCTTGGCTCAACCAGACAGGGCAGAGCCACTTTTGGAAGCCCAGCTTTTGGCCTGAGGACAAGGCTGTGCCCTCACAGGACAGAAAGCATTTCAAAGTCCCAAGGATAATTTCACTTTTACCTGGAATTAAATTAAAAAATAACGTACTAAAGGTTTTAGCAAGCTCTGGATGTAAGACACGTGAGATCACCTGAAACCCTCCACAGAACAAATGTGATGCAAAGCTCAGCCCTGCAGAGCCCAGGGCTGCTCTCACCCTCCCCAGACATGTGATTATGGATCTTCTCACCCTGAGCAACACCAAAGGCCGCCCAAATTACAGTGTCTGCACACTTCCAGCCCTGTCCTCAGCACCTCAGATCTCCTGACAGGCTCAGCCCTCGGCTCACAGGCTGGAAGGAAGTTTTGTGCTCCATGGGTTCATTCCTGCTCCACACAGAGAATGGTTTGGCCTCTGTTCCACAAAGTGATTTCTGGGCTCTGAACTCTCCCCGGGGTTTGTGACCTGCCCTAAGAGGTTGCTGCAGAGCCAGGGTGGGCACACACAGAGCTCCAGCAGTTTGCCCCACCCAGACCCAAAAATTCTACACAAGGTAATTCAGCAGAACTTTGACATCCCAAGTGGATACTTAAATCAGAAATGCTGTAGAGCTTCTCAGGGGTTGTTTGCACCCAAACCAAAATGTGTCTTTGCCCAATTTAGCCTCAAGTAGAAAATAAGCTATTAAAAAAAACCCAAAAAAAAACCCCAAAGAAACAAAAAGAAAAATAAGAAAACCCACTACACACACCTACCAACAAATCCTTCACATTTTTTAGTAGTCCCTGACAACCTGCTTTTGACACCATCATTAAAATAGACCAAAGTGTGAGAAGGTTGGAACTTTTTTTCAGCTAAAACTGCTAAATCAATGCCATCAAAATCACCTCTTTGACACTTCTGGAAAATAAAATAAAAAAAAAGGCAGGTGTGGCCCAGAGAACAGCATTCAGAGCTCTGTGACTGCTTTCACTCTCTTGTCCTTCCTCAACGCAGCTTAGGAAAAAACCAAACAGTCAAAAAAACCCCTCCACTGGTCACAGGATTATTTGTAAGGGAGGAAACTATTCCCAGGCTGGCACCAGGTTCAAGCCAGCAGAGAGAAATAACCTTTCATCACCACACTTCTCCCTCCAGAACTGAGCAGAGTTTCCTTCAAATGTCACTGCCAGATGCCTGAAAATGCTGCTTTTTCTAACCCACAGAGCCTTGCAGGAGAGATTTTACACTGCTCAGAGACAGGAATGCGGGTCTGAAACCAATGGGGGCACAGCTCACAAAGCAGAGAAACCTAAATCGTTATCTGAGCTTTTCTTCCCCTCTGTTCACGTGGTTCTGGCAGCTGCTGAATATGCTCAGCAAAAATCTGTAATTAAAAATCAGGATCTGGCTCTGCTCTAGTGCTGTGACAGAGGGCCCTGAGAAGTTTTTGACACACTTTGGATCTGCACCCCAGAACCACCATGTTTCCAAGGCTGCACAAACACTGCTCTCTCTCTTCCTGGACCAGTCTCAGCTGTAAAGTTGTTTTTGGCAGATCTCTTAATACTTGTTTTCTTTAAATTCACTTGTCATTCTGCCTCCTTCCAACCAGGGCTTTCCTCGTGGCTAAGGAGGCTTCTACCAAGCATTTACACACCTGAAAACCAAGTGATTCCTGGGATCCGACACTAAACTGCTGCCATTGCAGGGATTTGGGAAGAGGACATGAACACATCCCAGAGAGCAGAGGGCACAACCAGCCTCTCACCCGCTCCTGGTCAGAGCTTGGCCCACACCACCTGAAAGGCTAAATGAGTAAAGAAATACCCAAATCCGAGTGGTTTGCCCAAGCAAAGCACTTCTGCTGGAGCTGTGGATGCTGGGCAGAGCTAGCACGGGACTGGGTCGCTCCAATTCCAGCTTTTCCACAGGCAGCTGAGGTTCAAAGCACCACCTGTGGGAGCTGGGAGTTGCCAGGACTGGGAGGCTGGGACACTGATTCTTGTCCCAGGCTGGGAGGGTCGTTTGATGCTCTAAATGTAATGTCTGAACACATTAAACGCTGCTGCCTTGAGACAGAAAGATCTGAGTCAAAGGCTCAGCTTGCCCTCGTTTATTCCACCCAGTCAATTAGTATCACTGTCCCCAGAACAAAACACTCATGCAAAACCAGTGTGAGTACCCAGGTTCCTGAATTGTTAAAGGAGCTGTCAGGAAGGGGCAGATCACTGCTATTCCCCAGGTACAGCCCTAATGAAAGGATTTCTCCCTTTGCACAATTACAAGGCTGCTCCTCCCAGTGTCACCAGTGCTGCCCGTGCTTTGTCCCTACATTTCTGCCTGCTCATCCCCGGCCATTCCCAGCCCTCCACCCCCATGGCTTTCTCAAGAACCTCACACTTTACTCCCCAAACAGCTTGTGCTGTCACACATGATGTATTAAGTCCAAATAACTGCTGGCAAAGGCTGGGAGTATTAAAAGCTACTTCTTAGGGCATTAATAACTGTCACAGAGAATTTCTTCGGAATGACAAATGTGGGCATGTTATCTTGACAAAGGCAATAATGCATCCCTGAGCTCCTACAACACCAGGCTGTTGGCACCTTCACAGCTCCAGAAAGGGGCTGACAGTGAGAATGATGAGCATTTTTATCTGCAAATATTAGCGAGATGGCCAACTGGTGCTGATTAATTTTACCATTAAATTAATGCCACTGCCCAAATTTGGTCGCTCACCCACCAATAAGTGGACCCCCAAGCAGAGCTTAAGATCTGTCCCCTGTGCAATTCTGTTCCCTGCGGTTAAGGGAGTTGTTCCCCCTTTGCCAGAAGGTTTGGGTAGAACCAAACAAAGATGATGGTTTATAGAAAAATGGGGTAAAAGCAGAGCAAGTTGGTAAAGTCTTGCCTAAACAGGTCAGAGCCACTTATTTCCATGATAGTTCCACATTTCTGGATTACAGTCAGGCCATCATGGAATATGTCCACGTAGCAAATTATCAGTTAAACCAGAGAAAATGGGGGGTTGTGTGAAATCAGCAGGAAAATGGTAAAGCTGGATGAGCCCCTGGCTAAAGCTGCCATTGCTGGGAATCCTAAAAGGGTGGCCAAAAAAAGAAATAAAGCCACCACTCTGGACTGGTGCCATTTAGGTGGTGGCTGCGATCAGTTTCCTTAATGGCCTTAGTGAAAAGTAGGTTAATGACACATAGCAGGGAAGGCAGGGACAGCAAAGAGAGAACTAGATGATCCCAAGGGACTGGAGTGACAGAGGAGCTCGTAGCACAGCTCCACACTCCGGAACTAGGAAGGTTTCCTGCCACCTCATCAGCTGAACCACAAGCATTTGGGATTACCTGCCAGTCACTGTCACCCAGCCATGAAAACAGCACATGGAACGTGAAGACGGACATCAAGGCTCTGCCAAAAATATTGGGAAGCATCACACTATCACGAAAATCACAGCTGCAATATCCTGCAGGTCTGGGGAGCCATTGGAAAGCAGAAAACTCAAAGCACACAAAGAAGGACTGCCAAAAATGTTACACTGAAGGAGAGACTAAAAGCCAAACTTATTGCTTTAAAAGTATTTTTTTTTTTGCCTTAGCAAAGGCAAAGGTGGGCTGTGTGTAAATAAATCTGGTGGATAAACCCCAGTAAGAAGAGATATTTAAACACAGTAACAACTTCAGACAGAAAATAAACCAGAAAAAATATAAACCATCTCTGAGCTACTCATAAGTTGGACTTTCCCCATCCAATTTGTACTGCTTTGTTCTAGGGAATAAAACCAGCTTCCATCCCAAACCCACTGATGTTCTAACCCTGAATGCACCCCAATATCACTGGTACCCTTAAGAGGAGTAGTTTATCTTATAGGAGGAACCAGAATTAACTGTAACAGGAGGAAAGATTAAAACCTGATATTTAATAAGACCCCAGAAATGCAAAGTTAATAAAACCCCCCAAGTTTGCAGAGGGCAATGTTCTGGAACCACTCCTGCTCTGCCTGAGGTTTGTGAGGTGTCTGCTGGTCCTCGTTCCTAAACTAGAGGGTTAAATTTTTGGCATAAAAAAACACCTAAAGGTTTATTGGGCTGAAGGAGAGCCCAATGCTTTCAGGAATATTATTTAAGCCTGTATAAATTCCCTTAATTCTTTCTCTGTCAACAATTTCCACCTAAAAATAGGCAACAGATCAAAGACATGAAAACATTTTCATGTTTCACCTGCTGCTACATAACTTGTGGAAGAGGTTTGTGTGGGGCTTTCAAATGCTTTCAAGACTTCCAGTCCTACAAGAAGTCTTTAAAATCATAACCAAGGCCTTCTAATCTCCCAGTTTCTGTGGATAACAGACAGGGAGCAAAGGGAGCACCGGATACACAGTCACAATCCCAGTACAGAGAGGAGAAACAAAACAAAATAAAAAAAGAGGATAAACAGGGGAAGTTCAGGTTTCAAGAACCTGGCAGTTTCACACAAAGCTTTTTGCTAACAACAGGAAGCCAAAAGGGAAGATCCAAGCAAAGCCTCTGTGCCCCAGGCAGCCTGGAAGCCCGGCAGGATGGAGTGGAGCTGAGGTGATAAGTGTGCAGTGCTGAGGAACCTCTGTGATCATTGAAGTTACAACTCACCTCCTCTCCAGGCAACAGAAAACTGACCCTCCCCATAAACCAGGCAGCTTGTCAGAGACATCTGAGTGACCCCAGCAAGGCGAATTACCTGGGTGAGGCCTTGAAAATGGTCCATCTTTAGCTTGTGTCACCCCGAAACACAGGAAAACCAAAATGCTGGCAACGATACCTCTGAAAGGGAAAACACAACAACCTGTTTTACTGCTTCATCCTCCTCGTGGGACTGCACGTTCTGTGTTCTTTGATGTGAGAAACGTCTGAACCTTTGTTTCTGAACTGCTGGCTGCGTCCATCATAAATGGATTCAGGAAGAAAAACGATCCAAAAGGGCAGTGCCTGGATCCTCGGGATGGGAATCACACAGCCAGCCAAACACTTCCCTGTGTCTGTACGCAGCTTTTATTCACACCAGGTCACGGAGGCACTCAGGATTTAGCAGTGAGAAAGCTCTCATTGCTCCACTAGGTTTCCATGAAATTTAAAAGCGAGCTGTTAGACTCGTCCAAGCTCCAAAAACAGCTTCTTAATCAGCTCAGGACAAGGAGGAGCTTACAAGACCACACCATGGCTGGAACGGTAACACACAGCCTAAAGAATATAACAGAGATAGCAAATAAAAACAAATTATCGGATCAGGAGCCCAAATATACCCAAGACCCACAACCTTGGACATGTTCCATTGGTTTTAATGGATTAAGGGGCACAAAGCAATCCAAAAATGCTCTTTTTAATACACCTCAATTCCCACTGGATCCTGCTGTCTCATATCACCTGCCTAAGTGCTGGCTGAAGGGATGGATAATTGGGAAATAGCTCATTCCCTGTTTGCAGTAAATGATGCAACCCCTGACTGCAAATGAAATGGCTCAGCCTGCAGGAGCCACAGAAAATACCCAATAATTCTGCTGTCAGAGAGAAAATGTTGCAGACCAAAAGCAGTAGGAGACTGATCATACTTTAAACATGTCAAAACTTCCATTCAAAATAGAAAACTAAAGGATTTATGACACTTCATTTTGCAGCATTCACCTCCGAGTACAAATGTTTGTGCTCCCTGAAAATAAAAATGGGGTTTTAGTTAACAGATGTAACTCAGTTGTTCTGCTTGCTTGAAACACTGGGAAGCTCACCAGAATTAGTTCCTGAATGGATCTGTGAATAGACAGTTCCATCGGGATTTCCAGAGATCTGGATGGCAAAACCCTGTCAGCTGATCTCAAATAATGAGAATATTCTGCATTTTGAGTCATAGCTGTGTTTGGAAGCACCAGCACGAGGGACTGTCGTGGAACAGCCTGTAATTGTGCGAGGTGTGACAACCCCATCTCTGCTCACAGTCTGGACCCTTCAAGTTCATGGGTTGTTTTCCCAAAGCTGGAATTCAAATCCTGAATCCAAATCACCACAGGAACTTAGTTGTGCTCCTTCTAAAACCCATTCTCAGTCCATAAAACATGCTGGGGATTCAGATATATTAACTTATTTCAAGTTCACCATGGCAAGTCTGGAAGTAAATCCCAAATTTGCATAATAGCCACACCATCTTCATTACGTTTGTTTTGTTTTTTCCAGTGGTAACTACATTTTCCCCCTTAACATCATTAATCTGTCTCCTCAGGAAGCTTCCAAGGCCTAACCATCATCCTGCCCTAGGGGCAGGAATGCTCCAGGACCTGAGAGGGGGTTTCCTCTCCTCACCTGGATGGACACAGCCAATGTTTTTTACCTGAGCAGCAGATCAGGAAGGCACAAAGCAGTAACCCGTGCCCGCAAAAATCATTTTTAGCACTTCAGCAAACAATAAAGGGAGAACCTGGCAGCAGTTTCACTGGCACAAACAAGCTCCTGTTTGTGCTAAGAGTCGATTCAGAGACATGGGACAATGAAGCCTGTCTGTGAGGAGTTGTGTATGGTCCTTTGTCCTGGGATTCACTGAGCCAGCTCCCACTCCCTTATCCCCCCCCCGGTCTGGATCCACACTGGCACAGCTGGTACAACCCACAAGCCCTGGAAAACGGGCACATGGAGGTCTGGTCTCTTTGGTACCTGAATTTCTCTGTGGGTATTTGGCCACAGCAGCAGGAGATCAACGAGCAAAGCCACAGATCCCTGGATCCATCCCCATGGAAGGCAGGGATCACCAAAAACTATATAGAAAGGGATCTCAGAGGGGACAATTCATGGCTTGAAATTCAAAGTACAACCCTGGAGCACACAGGTGCTTTGAAACCTGAATGTGCTTTATATGGGAAAAAGGTGGTTTTAAACCTGAATGTGTTTTGTATGGAAAAAAAAAAAATCATTTTTTTTCCCCCCCAAGACGCCTTGTTCAGCGTTCAAAATATTTGGGAGCTGTGGATTTCTTCCACAGCCACGGTATGCAAAGGAGGTGCTCAGTGTTCATTTGACTCCCCTCTGAGATGGAGCTCAGTCCTGACCCTTCCAAGTGCTGAACAGAGCACAGGGGGACACCTGTCAGTCGGGATACGCTGCTCCAAGGAACTGTGGGAATAAAAGTCCCATGGATCAGACAGGTCTGCAGCACAAAAGCTCTTTGCTTAACAAAGGAAACGTTCCACTGTCCTTACAACCGAGGCAGTTTAATCACAATAGATAACAGGATCACGTGTGGAATCCTAATGAAGTCTTGATTAGATCTACACATAAAGGATTTCCATAAACCTCACCTTTAAAAGAAATAATCCACCTTTAATTGTTTAATTGCCCTGGCCTGTTGCAGGAGGGAAAATGTCCCTGGAACGTCAGACAGATGCAAACTCAAATCTCAGCCACAGACACCACACCCCATGAGCTCAGAGGTCCCTGCCCTCATGTGGGTTTTGCCCATCATTTCTCCTGTGACTTATTCCATGATTCCACCACTCATCCTGCTCCTGACAATGACTGGATGGAGCACCTTCACAGGGTAAGATAATCCTGATTTTACAGGGGAGAAGGTGGGAGCCTCACATGAGACTCCAGTTCGGGAAACATAGCGCCAGCAAATTTGGGAACTTCACCTCAGTTTACTGCTCTGAGCACCTTCTGCACCTCAGCCAGAGCATGGAAACAAAGGAGGCTGGAGTGCTTGGAAGTGCGCACTTAGGATCTGCACCTACCCCCAAACACTGCTCCACTGTCAGTGTGCAGGAGGTGGAAATAAAACCCCATGACAGCTTCAGATTCTGCTCAGTGGTGCCAAAACCACTCCTGGTCATTAGGCAGCAAGTGTTCCCATAAAGTACCAGCACACAGGGACAGCCTCGTGCTGGCCAGGATTTGAAACCAAAGTACGGCTCTGCATCAGGACTGACAAAGATCTCGGGCTGGGATGAGGGATTTTAAGTTATGGAAGCAAAAATAAAAATTCTGTGAAAATCTGGGCTATGGATATACTTATGCACGTTGTGACCATCTCATCCTGCTCTGAAATGCCTGGTTTTGTTCAGATATACACTGAAATACATATTTTCCTTGTTCAGATTTACACTTGAAGAGCTAGGAACACTCTGAGAGCAGCAGATGCTGGAGAAGGTAAGGGACAGGGATTGAGCAGGAACTCTTCAGGTAGGGTGGTGCTAAACTTGTTGTAGCATCTCAGAGACCTCAGTAAAGAGGTTCATGGAGGGATTCTTGGGACTGTCCTGTGCAGGGTCAGGGGATGGACTTTGATCCTTGTGAGTCCCTTCCAGCTCTGGATATTTCATTATTCGACTGAGACCAGAGTTCCCTGGAAAAGGACTCGGCATAAGGAGAATGTGGAACAGCACAGCCATGTCCATCCCTTCCAGGAATTGGGGCCAAGGCAGCAGGTAAAGCCTGGGAAGGGCCCACAGGACTCATGGTTATGCCTGCGCTGATCTTTAGCTTAGAAAAAGGAATAATCTGGCCAAGTTAACTACTCTCCCCATGGACATGGAGCTGGAATAGCTGACAACAGCCTAAGGGAGCAGCGAGAGTGGGAACAGAGGTGTATAAAACACGGAACATTTGGAAGACTATGTCCAATCCTCAGGATGCTGCTTTTCAAGGGTTTTTGTGACAGGCAGAATTCCCCAGCCAGAACAGTAGAAGTGATCAAAGCCCATTTGCTGCCCCTTCCCTGGTATGATGTTGTAAGTTGATTTTAATAAATGGGCACAACAATATTCCCCTCCCTGAAGAGGCAAAAAACAACTTGTGTTTTCTGAGAGAAAGGCTCACCTGCTGACTAATCTTCCTTGGGTTTGTTTTGATTAAGGCAGTGAAGGCTCTAAGCTCAATAATAAGATATTCCACTGAGTCACCTTAGCTCTGTATTACTCCCTGAGGATGTCTTATCACTTCTCCTTCAGCTTTTCCCCTTCCCAGTTTCCAACGGCCATTCCGCAGCATGTCACGCCTCCAGCCTGCACTCCCTCCTTTTAAGGGGGAATAAAATGGCATTTGTTCACACAGAAGCCTTCCAGAACCTTTCCCAGCCCCAGACAGCTTCCAACTTGTTCTATTTCACCCCCACGAGTAAAATCCCAGCACTCAGGTGGGCACAGGGTGAGTTCCACCAGCCCCAGCTATTGTGTGACTGCCAGAACAACCAGGATTATCTCAGGAAATACCCAACTCCTGCATCTCCAGCACAATAAATGATATATCCTGAGTCACTTCACAAATGTACAAAAACAGGAGGAAACTCTTTAGTAGCAAGGGGAAAGAAACTCATTATATTTGAGAAACCAGACTGGTAGAAAACAATGATTTTCATATTTCTAGTAAGGATGCCTTGCAGTATATTTTTACAACATACCTAGCTTTTTAAAACACCACTTTTCTACATGCTATTTCTTCCCTACTGTACTGAAAAAGAGGAGAAATTCAACCACATTGAATCAGTTTAAATTGCAGCAGAAACAGACTCATCTCATTCTTGTTTCCCTCTGGGCTGCAAGTCCTCGGGGCAATTTTCAACAACAAACAGTGATTTGTGCTGAAATCTCGAACGTAATTTTAAAAAAGGCACTTGAGTCAGAGAAATTTAGTCACAGTTCCTCTCATTTAGAAATGAGGGTTATTTTAAGAAAACGTTATTTTAAGAGAGGGTTTTTAAACCCCACCACACGACAGCCACAGGCATGACAGTAACACTAAACTGATTAGAAATTACATTCAGTGATCAGCATCAGAGGAGCTTATGGACTTATGACCGGTTTTGTAGCTTTCTGAGGGTTCAGGCACTTCAGTGAGGGAGTGCAGAGGTTCCAAAAACACACTTGAGGACCTCCTGCTCAGTTATTTACCTCTTGGTGTTGTAGGCTGTGTCCTGGGGAGTCTCTTCCAGCAAGGTCACGTAGCCCAGCGCACACGTGAGGATGAACAAGACTGTTAAGGTGTGAGCTCTCCTACAATTCAGAAGAGAGATGATTGGCATCAAAAAGCAGAAAAACTTACTTATATCTCCCCCCACACACACATCAGTGCAGCCTCAGGAGGCCAAATGCACAGAGAGCAGTCAGGAATACTGAGGTTTTCTGTACTGTACAGCACATGGAGCTGAATTTACAGTGGCAACTGCATGTGAACAGCAGCAACTCTGAAAACAGCAGCACTGGATCTAAACACCTCCAGGTCTCTCCTCTGGTTTGGCAGGTCCACACCTGACAGTGCTGCTCTATTTCACAGCCTACTCATAAAAACTGCAGCAGAGTGAAAAGGTCCTTAAGATTACCCAAGTTCACTCCAAACGTGGGAATTACGCAAGAAAAACTGGTCATTAAAAAAAAAAAATTATTTAAAAATCTTTAAAGAGGAATAGCTGCAATTGTATGGGATTGGGGTAAAGCGCTCAAGGGGAAATTCTTCTGGTACAGGTTGCCCAGAGAAGTTGTGGCTGCCCCATCCCTGGAAGTGTCCAAGGCCAGGCTGGACGGGGCTGGGAGCAACCTGGGCTAGTGAAAGGTGTCCCTGCCCATGGCAGGGGGTGGAACTGGATGTCCCTTCCCACCCAAACCATTCCAGGATGACACACATGCCCCCCACACCCACTGATCACCACACAGTGAATATTCTTACAACAGCCACTTCTTCTTCTATTTAAAGTTTTAAAAGTCCTTTCCTAATGAGAAGCCACTTGTTATTTTCAGTGGAAAACATTTCCAGTCATGGATGGGCATGTAAAACAGGATAAAGACTTGAGTTCTGGCTTAAAGGTCCACAAGATCTCTTATCACAGAGGATTAAAACAACCCAGGTATACAGAGGAAGCTCAGAAAGGAGAAAACCTGTGAAAGAAGGTGCCTGCATGTGGCATATTTGGCTCTATTTCCATTTTCTTTATATTTTATAATAGCAGCTCACATTTCCTTTCCATGTCACTGCCAACAGACCAAGGTTTGTATATTCAAGTTGTGCAGATAAACCTGGGATTACCGGGAATTTCCAAGCCATTCACTGACTTACCTTTAACCAACCCCCCAGCAACCCACCCAAAACTGCTCTGAAAGTCAGAGAAAGGCTGATTTTTGAATGAAAATTCCCTCCTAATCCAAACCCCAGCCACTCTCAGACCCTTGCAATCCCACTGGAAAATACCTCATAAGCAGGCACAATCCTCTTCCGCCACTGCTAAAGGAGAGCTTGGCATTGAACACTATGCTTCCTCACGCTCCCGAGGGCGTGGAATAACCAGCTCCAGGACAAAAAAAAAAAAAAAAAAAAAAGATCCACAAGTATTTTCACAATTAGCAGGGACTCAACGTGTCAGAACCCAGGCAAAAAGGTTTTGGAGCTGTGAGGACCTCCTGCTCGGCAGCTGCATCTTCCCCAGGTGCCGGGACAGGTGATTCAGCCATGGAACACTCACGTGACGTGATGCCTGTCCTGGATCCTGCAGGAGCTGGAAAACTAAACACCCTCCTCTCCCAGGAGGTAGGACAGCAGGCACTGAACTCATGCTCCAATCACACCACACTCTGCTTTTATGTATGTATATAACTGATAAAAAACACTTATATTTTGATCAGCAAAAAGGTTACATTTAGGCTATTTTTATATTTTATATGCCTTGTTTCGTTGCTTATTTCTGGAACTCATGTCTAAGAGGCTACAAAAATAAATCTAGAAATGCTGTCTCACACCTTACTATTTCACCACCTGAACACCTACACAAAAATCAGTTCTTTTTTCAAATGTGCTGTTAACATAAATTGCCAAAAAAATCAGTTATTACATGCGATGTCCTCACGTGGATAAGCACCTTGAGAAACTCCTCTAATAAGAAGCCAACACAAGGATGATCAAGTTCCATTCCTCCATACACTTCATTTTCCAGCTGTTTTTGGTGCCCCAGCCACCTATCTGAAACCCAACCAGCTGCCCCGTTTTGGGAGAGATAAGAGGCTGCACTCTCTTCATCTCCAGTTGCAGCCAGATTCCCCTTGTAGCAGGTTTTCAAGGTGGCTGGTTAGTCACGGAAAGGTGCTTTCAGCACAGGAAATCCAGGATGAAAGACTTGGGAGATGGGATTGTCTCCTGGGAAGAGCAAGTTGGCAGCTCTGACAGAGAGCTGTGAGCAGTGACAGGGCGATGAGAGCACCACATAAACCCACCTCAGAGGTGGAAAAGCATGGAGATACAGATACACACCATGCCTTCCCACAGCCTAGGAGGCAAAAAGAATAAAACAAAACTCCCCAAAAGGGAGCAGCAGGTGGAAGTGCTCGTCAGAGCGAAGCCAGGATGGATTTCCCTGCATAGAGGGATTGTTGTTTTCACCTCCGCGCACACACACTGTAAAATAACACACCAGAGGAAGACGAGCTGAGAGCATCCCAGCAAGGTAAGCACGGTAGGAATTATGTGGAAAGGCTTATGTTCTCCTGGCCTGGTGCCTGGGAGGCTGAAAAGAGCTGAGCTGGCCAGAGCAGGAATCTTCCCCTTGGAATTACACAGGAGTTCGGGCAACACGCACGGAGCAAAGGGGGCACAAACCGCAGCCAGTTCTAGGAGGTTGCACGTCTAGAACTCTGCACACAAAAATATGTAAAGCCAGGGAGAGGATTTGCAACGAACACCAAAAAGTTCTAAAAAGCTGGGAAATTAAGTAGCTTCATTTTCTGCCTTTCTGTGCTGCGCATGTGTCTATTTCCCCACTCAAAAACTGGGACATCGAAGTGAAATAAATTAGGTTTGTTTTTACAACATCCACTTGCCCTGCTCATTCAAACAGCCAGCAAGAGCAATTTCAGCGGCAGCAGCCAAAACACCTCTCCTACATCGCAGCTCACGAAAAAAAAAAAAAAAGGTGGTTTTTTTTTCCCAGTTAAGGATTAAGTTTGATCCCAACTTCTCTTTTTCATGCTAAGTCATTCTCCTGTCACACTGAGAAACTGCAAGGAAATTACTATCAGCGCCTTTGTTTTCCAAATGAAGCCTGTGACACAAACGACCTAAGAAAGCTGTTTAAATACCTCTTTTCTGGGGAGGTTGGGGCAGATCCCTGGATGGAAAGGAGGGAGTAACACTCCGATGGCCTCATTCAATCTCCCACAAACTAAAATCAGCTTAAGCAGGGACCGCACCCTTGTTATCCACTGCCTGTTTGTCACAAATGATGCAACGACTCCATTAAACATAACAACAATCACTGGAACACCATGCGAAGAATTTATTTATTAATATTTTGCTCAGTTCTCTTAAGTGGAATGGAATTCCAAAGGAGAGCCAGTCTAGTTTGCCCCTTGGGTTTAAAAAGTTTCATTAATTGCTGCTGCCAGAGAAAGAATCTGTCAGCAAACTCAATTAGTCCCATCAGCAACTTTTTCATTATTTATTCCTTCATTCCAAATAATGACAGTCATAAAAGTATTTCTGAGAGAGAGACTTCTTTAAATGGATGTCAGAGCTCTGTACCCTCCACGAACCAACACAATCAGCTGGGAATTTTAAGAAAATATGGCAAAAAGCACAACAAACCCATTCCCCCAACAGCAGCAGAGGGTTTGTGTGAAGAATAAGACACAGGAAAACACACCGAGAATTAGCAACAATTTCAAACCTACCAATATTTTGACATTCAAAATTAAACCAACAATTAACTGGGAAACTGCTGGGATAGAGAGAGTGCCTGCAAACCTTCAACAGAAATCCAACCATATAAATATCCCTGTTGGTTTAAAGCTGTAGGCTGCATTTTAAAACCTGTTTAAACTCTCTAAGTTAATAAAACAGTCCCTATTCTTAGAGCAGTTGCACGTCTTGGGCACATCTGTGAAGTCACAGAACACCGATTAAATTTCCCCGCGGACTTGGGACACTCCAAAATAGCACCGGGCACTTGCCTTGCCCTGAGCCAGTGCCTCTCCTCAAATAAACCCAGAAGGAGGGACCTCCAGAGAACCAGGACCACGGGACAACAGCAGAGCTCTGGCAAATCAGGCATTTTTCTTCTGATCAGGAGGAAGGACTAACAATGTTTCTGAAGTTCTACAGAGCCCACAAGTTCCCCAAATGTTCCGATTTCAATTATTGAGCATTTTCATGTTTAAATCTTTAGAAATCGGTGTAGCAGGTGTTAGTTTAGAGCAGTTTCGCTGGGACAGGTGACCAGGAACTACAGGTAACACACTTTAAGAGCATTTTTCCCTATTCTCCTTAAAACTTCAGGAGCGTGTTTACCAAAAAAAGCACAATATAGAAACTTAACACTCAGGTGGGGCATTAAACTCTCACAGGCTCTCTGCACAAAGATATTCCATCTGCACTTCCAGCTTGCTTGGCAGAACTATGCAATCCCATCCTTTCAGGAAAGGGCAGTGCCATTCCCATAACACAATTCCCAGGACACAGCGCCCCTCATCCACAACCAGCTGGCGAGCACGGCTTAGTGGGATTGCACAAGGCCTGGATGTCCCAGCTCCCTGGCCCTGCCAGCACATTCCCACAGGCTGGAAAAGCACGGCTGGGTGACCCAGGACTCTGGAGCAACGTTCCTCTGTTCCAGATAAGCAACGTGCTCCAGCGTGGTGAATCCCGAGCAGGTAGCTCAGTGCACATGGAATCCCAAAACCGCCCACTTAATGCATGGAAAAATCCATGCTGTGTTCAGTTCCCAGTAAAACTCAAGGAATGTTGTCTTGGAAGTGCCACAGCCAGCCCCCAGGAGAAGGCAGTCCCTGCCAGCCTGAGGATCTTCTGCCTCCCTAATTTCTCTTCCGGATAATTCCCCACCTCTTCCTCCAGACCGGCCCTTAGCAAATCCCGTGAGGTATTTTCACAGATAAGAACAATCTCCATAAGGAATGTTTCAGTTTGAACACCAATCCCATCCTTCCAAAACCAGCTGGTTTGCCCACACACATCCTTATTTCCAAGGCCATCTGGGAAGACTCTCACAACACTGAATAAAACAAGAGGAACACGCCGGAAGAGGCTGCCTCTTCCTTGGCTGCAAATTCCATGTTCTGTGCACCAAACAGGCCGAAATAATTCCCACAAACACTGTATTAGTCCACAGAATCACTGTCATTCCCTCTTTTTTCCTTCTTTTCCTATTTAAATTCCTGAGCTCCACAGATCCCTGCTGCCACACCACGACCTTAGGGAACCCGCATCACGCCCGTGTGACGGCAATATGGAATTATTAATGTGAGAGATAAAAACTCATTAATAATCAAGAGGTGACGTTAAACCAATCAAACCCAAATTAAAGCAAGGCTCAGGAAAAGCAATTAACCCACAGAGTCACAACGTGGTGGCAAAAGCGCATCTGGCACCTCCCAACATCCTCAAATTAGGACTGGATGGATGTTTTCCTGGAAGACTTGCTTTCCCTAAAGACATGCTACAAATATATACAGAAATCAGGATAACGCAGAAATTTGAGGAGAAAATCATACACAACTACATGCTCCCTTCACCTAAATGATTCCTTCCCTTGGCATTTCCTAGTGGCAAAAAGAGCTGCCAGGCTACACTGACTGAGCAAGTTGCCCCAATGGAGTATTTTCCAGCCCCAAGTCATTTATGTGGAATAAGAACAGAGATATTAGCACACCACTGGTTTTCCAAAGTTTCGAACAGATTTGAAGAGCAGGAAGCCAGCTAGGAAGCTCCACCTTTCCCAGTGATCCCATTTACAGCAGGAAAACCGCCTCTGCAAAGTGAACTGCTCCAGGAATGATTTCTGACTGTTTACAGCTCCCAAATCCTTTCATTTTTCCAGACAGAGAAAGCCACGGGGGTAAGCTTATCCCTAACTTCTGGACTTCAAAGAGAAAGTACATTCCATACTTTTCCAAAGTCGGAGGGCAGCCATCCTCACAAAATCCCCTTTCCTCTAGCCACCTTCACATCACGAGAAGAGTCCCAAGGGTCACAGGAAGAAAACAATTTCTCTGGATAATCTTTATACTTGGACACTTTAAGAACTGAGTCATTGCCAAAGGACACTCTGTCATGCACAGGTCAAAAGGAACACCGGGAAAAGCCTTGGGACTTTTCCAGGTGTTTAAGCTCCTGCCTGTCAGCAAAAGTTACTAGGGAACAGAAAATTAGATAAACAGGGAAGTTAAGGAACAACTTAACAGACTGTCCCTGCTGCCCTCCTGGAAGGGACCACGCAACACAGGGTTCTCTCTCCTGAGAGAACAAGGCACATCCAGATTTCCAAAGGAACAATCCACATGGCCACACTGACTGCATTCCAGCTTTTATTCTGGGATGACAGATAGCCCTGCCACTACCACAGAGAGGTGCAACAAGGTGAGATTCTACAGCAAAAAACAGCATTTTGAGGCCTCACAAAACACCTGGCAAGAGCCACCTGAAGTAGAGAGTAAGAAAAGGACACTTTTACCCATTTTCCATTTATAGGGTGGCGCCAGGAGCCAGCGATTCACTCAGCCTACATGTGCTGTGCTCTCCAGGGAAGGTCCTCTTGTCCCCAAACCACGATGTGCCTTGGCTACACCCGCCTGTCAGGGTTCTGCAGAGATCCCGCTGGGATCCAGTAGCATCCCAGTGCTTCTTTGCAGCTTGCACTGGCAGGAACGTCACCTACTTCATCGGGATCAACACCCTCAGTGCCGCGGCTGCCCAGATTGGCAGGGTGAGAGCCAAGTGCCCTCCCCTCCCCACTCCTCCATGACACACTCCAGCCAAATCCCATCGCCCTCAGCTCGTATTCCAAAGGAGCCTCGGCAGTGTCAGCTTGGTTTCCTTCACCCAAAAGGACGCGTGTTCAACGCGAGCAGAAAAACCACGGACCTGCACACGTGTGAGCCGAGGGGATTTGTGAAACAACTCCAGCAAGGACAGGATTTAGGAGCACTTTTCCAGGTACAAACACATCACTTCCTGCAAGGACTGAATGCAAGGAAGAAAAGCTGGCCCAACACTGTCAGTCGTGGGTTTCTGCACCCGTTCTATGGACTGAGACACATGAAAATACAACAGGACCAGGGCACGACCACTTTGGCTGTCTGCCAGGATTACTGGGAAAAGCACGGATGGAAAAAGCCTCTTCCAAGACTGAGGGAGGGGGAAGAAGGGGGTGGGGTTCACATAAACAATGCTGATAGCTGGAATCCAGCAGAAATGCTTGCCTGCAGACAGTGAGCTCCCAGGGTGTTGGAAAACACCTCCAGAGCGCTCACCAAGTCGGGTATGGGGCAGCTCTAAGGGTCCTGCCCCTGGAGGGGTTGGGACCAGGACTGGGAAAGGAGGTGACACGACATAAAGCCAGCCCCATTAAATTGCCAGGAAACAACGGTACTACACCACCAGGAAAACACCCTTAGCCTATTCCAGCACCAGTACACCAGCTAAGCCAGGGCAATGAGAACAGTAGATAATGGGCAGTAAAGCCTTTAATTTTCCCTCTCAGACCCCTCGCCCATATCCTATACTTCAGGCTCCCATAGATACCCCATTTCTCATGCCCCCCTTCTATAACCCATTCCTCAGACCCCCCAATATCCCCCCCCCCGGCCTCCCCTATCCTATTGCTGTGTCCTCCCCAAATCCCATTGCTCAGCCCCGCTCTATCCCATTCCTCAGTGTCAACATCCAATATTCCACTCCCCAGACCCTCTCTATCCCATTCCTCAGTGTCCCCTCCACACCCTATTGTCCAGCCCTCCCTCTATCCTATTCCTCAGTGTCCCTGCCCCATATTCCATCCCTAAGACCCCCCCCTATATCCCATTCTTCATCCCCCCCCCATCCCCGCGGAGGGGGACCCCCGAGGGGCGCCTCTCACCAGAAGAACGTGTTGGTGCCGTCGTCATACACTTCGGACTCGGTGCTGCGGCGGAGGCCGGTGCTGTCCCGCTCGGCCCCGGGGGCTCCGCCGTTGGGCTGCGGCGGTGGCGGCGGAGCGGGGGGGCCCGGCTGCTCCTCTAGCGCGGCCTTGCCCAGGGCCCCGCCGTGCACCCGCCGGTCGCCGCGCCTCATGGCGGCGGGTGGGACCGAGGGGTGAGGGCGGGGGACAGCGAGAGGGGACAGCGGGAGGGGACAACACGGGGGACACACGGCGGGTCCGGCCAGGGACGGAGGGAAGGGGGGGGGGGGGGGGGGGGGGGGGGGGGGGGGGGGGGGGGTTGAATGTGACGCGGCACGCGCGCGACCCCGCGTCCGCGCGTGCGCGGGGCGCCCCGCCGGGGGAGGGCGGGGCCGGGCGGGGCGTCCCTCCGTTGCTGTGGCAACCGCGTGGCGCCGCGCGCCCGCCAGGCGGCGCCACCAGCGCGCGGGGGTTAGGTGTCCCCCGCCCCTTCATGCGCCCCCTCGTGGCGGGTCCCGGTGCCCCCCTCACAGGAGGGACCCCCGGTGTCCCCTCACGGGAATGAACCCCCGGTGTCCCCTCACGGGAATCACCCCCGGTGTCCCCTCACGGGAATGAACCCCTGGTGCCCCCTCACAAGAGGGACCCCCCGGTGCCTCCGTGCCCTTTCCACAGAAACGCGAACGAAAGGGGGGGGGTGTGGAATAAATGAATAAAGAGAACAGTCCTTTCAGCTGTGACAGCGCTGTGCCATGAGTGCATCTACTCGGCGTTCGCGAATTACGGCGGGATCATTTGTTTAACGCTAAAGCTCTGCATCTCTTGGCAAAAGTAACCAAAGAGTGCTAACTCACTCGCACACACTCACTTGAGTTATTCAAGGAAAAGTGCTCTTTGCCAGACTCTTGTGTGGCTTTCAAGTACCCCAGACCGTGCTTTCCCATTAGTCTCATCCCTGATGCCTTGTCTGTCCCAATTCCCACATCTCTGGGTGATGAAACATTAAATATATGACCAGATTTGCAGAAATGTGTTTTTCTAGTAAAAGTTTTTGTTTCCACCTGGAGAGTTCAAATGCAGGGTGCTGGGTGCTCCTGTGCCCTCAGAGCTGATGTATTCTCAGAATTCCCCAGCTCTTTCCAAATTTTTCTTGGCCAGGCTACTTGTTCAGAATGTGGCATGCTGATCCTGGATGGCAGGCAGCGAGCTACGGTTTTCTGGAAAGATCCTGACAGCACCAATCACCACGGAGGGAATAGGACGCTCTGTAGGAGCAGACAAACAAAACCAGGAAAGAAATTAGAAGAAACATTGACAAGGCTGCAAGTAGTCAAGGTGACCTTCAAACCCAAGCTATTCCACAGTTCTATGAAATACTGAATAACAGCAGGCTTAGATGGGATATTGCGAAGCAATTCTTCCCTGGGAGGGTGATGAGGCCCTGGAATGGATTTCCCAGGGAAGTTGTGGCTGTCCCATCCCTGGAAGTGTCCAAGACCAGGTTGGACGGGGCTTAGAGCAACCTGGGCTAGTGGGAGGTGAGGGTGGATGGTCTTTAAGCTCCCCTCCAACTCCAACCTTCCTAATATTCTGGGATTCTATAAAATAAAGGAACTGGCCACGGGAGGGCAGCAGCAGGCTGCGTTCAGTTACCGTGAAGCACCAGCTCACAACCATCACTCATTAGTCTGCGAGGGGCTTTTATGGGCTGGCAAAGCTTCATTTCTGTCTGTTTGCCCTCTCAGATACAGCACAAATCGCGTAGTTGCCGCATCTGAGCGAGAAGGGTTTAGCCAAAGATTCTCTGAGAATCTGGAAAACTCCTGCCCTTGGAGGCAAAACCAGTATAATGCAGTTTTGGGATATATAAAGGACATTTCTTGCTGCTGCACAATCCCCTCTCAACCTGAAACACTGGAGACTCCGTAATGCTTTATGAGACCTGGAGGCACTCACCTTATTCTAAGAGATCACAGAATATCCCAAGTTGCAAAGGACCACCACAAGTTCCAGTTGGAAAGGACAGTTTGGAATTAGGAGAACCTTTATCCTGAAGGTCTCCCAAAAGGACCAGCTCCTTCTAAGCTGGGTACAAAGGAAAGCAATTCCCTTTTTAGGCTTCTCCTGAGTGAAAGAAAAAACTAAAACAAAACAAAGAAAATTAAAAATCCAAGATGCAGGGAACTGAGAAGCGCAAATAAATCTTTTGATACCTTCCTGAATTAGGGATATGTTCCTTTTGTACATTCAGAAAGCATCACTGCCAGGTGAGGTGGCCAGGCAGCCTCTTTGTGGCTGGAGTGGTTTCTCACACGGAAGCCTCAGTAGCGGTCTGTTACCTCTCCTCAGGTGGGAATTACCCTTTCCACATCCAGCCAGGACTAACAGGTCAGGGAATGCTGCTGGAGCTGCAGTGCCAACACACGCAGTGTGGGTCAAACTGCTGCCCAAGGCGGCTGGAGTCCTTCGGTGGGTTCGGGTATGTGACCAGCCCCAGCAGCCACGGAGCTGATCAGACCTTAAATAATTCTCCCTGCTCATACAGGGTTTGTGCGGCTGCACAGGCTCGAGCCAGAGTCCCACAGCACCTCGTGTCAAGTGGATTTTTCACAAGAGCGTGGTGGGTGCACCATCTCCCTCCCCGATTCCAGTTTTTCGTGCTGCCGTCCCCGGGGCCCAGGCAGCACCACAGAGTGGTAAATGTGGAGGTAGTGCATGGCACGAGGGGAGAGAAGTACTGAAAGGGGAACAGCATCGAGCTGGTCACCTGCTTTGCTGCAAAAGCAGCTAAATCTTGCCCAGGCAAAGCCGAATTTCTCTTAAACAGGAGCAGCAGCAGAGCAGTCTCCTCGGAGTGCCGTGGCATGCCGCAGGGGATGGATACCTCACCCAAAGTCACCCTGCAGGCACAGACTCCCTTCCCCACTGGCTGATAATGCCCACAGGCATTCAGGACTGCTGCTGGGATGCCCACGCTCTGGAGAGCAAAGTCCTCCCAGCCCTAGTCAGGAGAAAGGAGCCGAGGTGTGGGTGGAGCGACGCGGCTGTTCCACCCACAGGTAACCCCGTTTCCCTGGAACCAGCAGCGCTCCCGCTGCAAAGGTCTTTTCTCTGCTGGCAGGTGGAAAGCGCTGCCTGACAGGGCTTCAGTCTCTCCAGGTAAACACACACATGCTCCCACACCCAGGGAGAGCTGCTGCCCAGATAGACTGTTCTCCACTGCAGGTTGTCCCTGTGGAGCACTCCTGGGAGGGTAGAGGTCTGTCCCTGCCTTCTCTCTGCGCTTGGTTTCACATGCAGCAGGACATTTGGAAGACAACTCTTTTTTTCCCCCTGTTTAATAACCCACAGGTCTAGTCTGGGGTCTGTTTAAGGCACTTGGCAAAGCCACAGGATGATGGTGGCTTGACTGGGAACACCACTCTGAACATGCTGGCTCTGCCTTTCCTGCCAGGATGCAGCTGGATTACCCCCCCAGTACTTATTTTAGAGTAATCCTCAGCAATGCTGTGGGAGAGCACAAGGGAATCCAGAGCAGTTACTGATCTTCCTGCTATTCCCAGGAAAGGCAGTTCTTCTTACTTGGAAATGAAAGTAATGCACCCCCCCCCCCCCCCCCCCGAAAGCTGGTATAAGGGGAGCTGTGAGACCTGGCTTACACATAACCACCTTTGCACTCACCTTTTGTAAAAAGTTATTCCCTGCTCCAAGCCACAGCTCCAGATGGGAGATGATTCTGCCTCTCTGCTCTGCTCAGGTGAGATCCCAACCAGATGCCTGCTACCAGCTCTGGGGGCACCAGCACAGGAAGGACATGGACCCACTGGAGTGAGTCTAGAGGAAGGACACCAAGTTGATCAGAGGGTTGGAGCACCTTTGCTGTGAGAAAAGACTGAGAGAACTGGGATTGTTCAGCCTAGAAAAGAGAAGGCTTTGAGGTGACCTAACTGGGGCTTTCCAGCACCTGAAGGGAGCCCACAAGGAAGCTGGAGAGTGGCTTCAGACAAAGGCCTGGAGTGACAGAACAAGGTGGAATGGCAAATTTAGATTAGATATTGGGAGGAAATTCTTCCCTGGGAAGGGTGGTGAGGCCCTGGCACAGGTAGCCCAGGGAAGCTGTGGCTGCCCCATCCCTGGAAGTGTCCAAAGCCAGGTTAAGAGCACTGTTACACAGGGAGGGGAGGGAAAACAGCACACAACTTCCGGAGCTGCTTTACCGGCCAGTGAGGCGTGAAGAGAAGATTTCTAGAGCTTTCTAGAGCTTCTGCTGATACCTGCTTCCTCCTCTGGGCCCCTTAGTGGCCCCTCTTCGGGGATGTCGCAGGATCTAGCACTGGCACGGAGAGGGGCAGAGGAGGGTGGCAGAGCCCTGGGGCCGCAGGAGGATCTCGGCACATTTACCTGTCCTGGTGCTGGGCGGTTCTGGGCTTGCCACTCCTCTGAGCGAGGGTGAAGGGCAGCTTTCTCACCTCCTCCCGATATCAGTTCCCTCCCAAGGCAGGCGGGAGTCCCACACGGAAGTCAAGGCGCTGCTCAGTGCACATGAGTCCTCGGGCAAAGAAGCTGGGCACAGAAACCACCCGGCAAGGAAGCCCAGGAGCCCCCAGCCCACCTTGCCTGTGGATCGGCCCCGAGGAACACTAGGACAGTGGACTAGCACTAGGACTCTCCGCTTCACCATGCAGGTAGGAACAGAAACAGCTCCAATACTTCCAGGGTGCTGCTTTTCAGCACCTCTAAGCACCTGTGCCTCGGAAACACAGGATACACTAAGCTCTGATCCCCACCGCTCACCTGCTTCCGGCCTTTAGGGCATTCCGAAAGTAGTACAGGGGCAGCTGGGACGTTTTGCTTCTCTAGACTGGAAGAAAAGATGCAGTTTACTTTCCTTGAAAAAGCCAGGCAGTAAAGGTCCAGGTGTGCCATTCTGCTTCTCCAGCTCAAGGCTGTCCCACTTCTCAGGAAGACATTGGGTAATGTGGAGGTGCTCCAAGGGAAGCTGGGTGAGAAACATCCCAGAGAGAAGAGCAATTTGATCACCTCAGTGTGGGTGATGGGAACAACCCAAACCCTCACCAATCCATGGCTGGGAAGGAACACAAGTATTCCAGATCCTATCCAGGTCCTTGGCCCGGGTTACTCACACAGGTGACCCCCCCCCCCCTCAGCCCGGGGGTGCCTGTGGCCATTTCCCTGAATGAACGCTCAGGGCAGTAGGTTACCTGGCCTGTGACAGGGGACAAGGACCACAGGAGGCACCTCAGGGCGTGGAAACTCTTTTTAACACTGAAATTCCTGCTTCCCATTGTGCCAGTCACTTCTCCTACACCTTTGCACAGTGGCACTTCCAAACCCTGCTCAAACACAGGGCAGGAGGGAGTAAAACCGAAACTGTCCTCCCTGAGAGCAGGGATAGAGTCCACGGTTCATGCAACCCCTGCAGAGGCCAGGTGGCCTCATAAGCTCATGATCTGACTCCCTAATCCCTGGGTTAAAAAAAATTAGGTGTGGGAATAACAGTGATATGAAGTCCCCGCCCTCTGCACCTGTCCCTGCCTACATATCTCTGCCTTTCCATCAGGAGCTGGAGTGACAGGACAAGGGGGGATGGCTTCAAACCATCAGAGAGAAGCGTTAAACGAGATATTAGGAAAAGATTCCAGCTGCAGGACAACAGGAGCTGGTATTTAGGGACAACCCGAGGCCGCCCTGTCCCCAACGGGTGGCTTCCCCTCCACATCCCCATGGATCAGAGGTGGTATTGGCAGGGAATCTCCGCAGGATGAGGGTGGTGCACATGGAGGTTATGAGAAACCAGCCAGGCAGGAATGAGCCAACATGACAGGGGAGAGCTGTGCCAGGCCTGATCTGTGCCAGCACCACAGCATTGGCAACAGGGCAGAGCCCAGCAAGGCCCCCACTCCCAATCCTCTGTGCCCAGAGAGGGGCTCAGCTGGGGACAGGGAAAACTGCCACATCCAATACTGCCCCTCAAACCTGATTAGAGCTCTGGCAGAGCAGGTGACAACACCACAACCCCTCCTTCTGCCTCTTGCCCTAAACTGAGTACCTTTTATCCAAGAGAAGTTCTGGCTATTGTTACAACAGCACTGCTGGGGGAGAACATCCCTTTTCTCAAGCATTCCCACTTCTGCTTCCTGGCTGTCAGTCTCCTCACGGCTCCTGTGCTGCGGCTGATCCACGTGAGTGAGGATCTGGTGGAACATTTCAGCCCTTTCCTCATCCTGGCCTCTCCTGCTTCCATGGCCTCATTCTCCAGTGAAAGCTCGGGATCCAGATCTTACATCAGGGCATGGTTTCACCACCATGGCTCTGCTCCCAAGACCACAGCTGGAGGAACCTGTCTGGCTGGGCTCTCTTTCAGGTCACAGTGTCGCTGGTGACCCCGAGTGACAATATCCCCATCCCTGGTAGCTCCTTCCCACTGCATCACCAGCCCTCTGGAACAGCAGCACAGCTGTTCATGGGGACACACCACGAGTCACAGCAAAGCACAGCAAAGAAACCCACAGGGCCACCTTATGGTTTAAGCTGAAGGAGGGCAGGGTTAGATGGGATACTGAGAAGTTCTCCCCTGTGAGAGTGGGGAGGCCCTGGCACAGATTGCCCAGAGAAGCTGTGGCTGCCCCATCCCTAGAAGTGTCCAAGGCCAGGTTGGACAAAGCTTGGAGCAACATGGGCCAGTGGAAGGTGTCCCTGACTATGGCAGGGGGTGGCACAGGATGGGCTATAAGGTCTCTTCCAACAAAAACCATTCCAGGATTACCTGCTTTGTGCTTGCCCAGAGCTGCACCCTTGGGTGTCCAGGTGTAATTCCCTGTAACCAGGAAGGTGGGAACTGCCTTGGCCCCTGCACAGCCATTCTCTCCAGAGCCAGGGACACACAGGAGGTGGACGGGGAAAAGCCAGAGTTCCAGTAGCATTTGCAAATGCTCTCAGGAACGTGGATTTTTGGGGTGGTTCTGTACAGTGCCAGGAGCTGGATTCAATGATCCTTGTGGGTCCCTTACAATTGAGGATGTTCCATGATACTATGATCAGCAGCTCGTCCTTCCCTCTCTGCCCCTTGGCTGCAGACTGAGGCATCCAACATGTTTTCCAAGATTTTTTTTCCACCTGCTCTGCTGCAAGGCTGTGCCAACCTGTCTGTGCTCTGCTCTCCCTTCACTGGAATTTAAAAGTGCTTTCCCCACCCTCCCTAAAAAGCCAGCGGTGCCCTGTCTGACGGGAACAACAGACAAATGGAAAAGCCTGATTAGAGGCTGTAAAATCCACTGTAGCACGGAGAGACAGGGTGAAGTGTTGACACTCTTCCAGTACAAATGTCAGGGCATCAGAACAAGAGGGAGCAAAGTCCGGAGCAGAGGGAGGTTTTTTCTCCTGGCCAGTTCCCTCACAGCCCCAGGGCACTGCTGGGCATCGAGACTTCTAGAGGAGGCTGCACACCCTCACAGGGCAGCAGTCCCTCCATCGTCCTCAAACACAAATGCCCAGCTGGCTCAGGAAAACCCCAAACAGGCGGCCAGGAGCGTGTAGGAGAAGGTTTTGGACAAGACCGCTCTTACCTTCCTCCCTGGGCATCCCCTCAAGGTTGCTGGGGAAGGAAAACACAGGATACCCCAGGGAGCCCACTGAAGCCTTCCTTTCACTGGTTCTCTTCTCAGCAGGATGAAATTCTGTTGACTCCCTGGAGGGATCATCCTGAGGAGGACACAGACCCCTTCACCCCTCCGGTAAGCTCTGCTCCCCCTGCTCCCACAGTGGGCTTAGCCCAGCTCAGAGAGGGGAGCAGGGCAGTGCCAGGGAAGCAGCTGCCTCAGTTTCCCCATCCCCTTGCTCATTCCCACAGCCACAATCAAGCTTCAAACCTCTGAGAGGCTGGAGCTGGGAGGGAGAGCTCTCGGCTTCCCATCCCTAATAATTCCCTGGTGTTTTTGTGGGCAGAGGGAAGAGAAGTGGGATTTTGTTCTGGTGAGTGACATCCATGAAATGGGCAGCGAGAAGGAGACCAAGAGGAAGAAGTTCCTGGATGAGCTGAGCAAAAAGGGGTTCATCATCAAGGTGAGGGGCTGTGGGAGGTTTAAAAGGCAGGAGAAACTTGGCCTGGCTTGAGTTCCTGCATCGCAGGAAATGAACCATTGAGCTGATCACCATATCAGTGCTGGAAAATAAACCTCTTGCTCAGTCAGAGGGGAGAGACCATAACCCCTGGCCCTTCCAGCTCTGCCCCTTCTCTGCCCCTCTGCTCTATTTTAACAGCCCTTCTCTTCCCCCCACTAGAAAATTGAGGACACAAAGCTATTTTATGGAGTCCGTGCCCCACAGCAGGTCTTCTGGAAATACCAGTGTCTTCTGGGGAAGCCAGACAAGAAGCTCCAAAGTGAAAATTCCCCCCAGGACATCCCAGTGACCACCAGGTAGGTGCTGAGCTGACTTCTGGCATCCTGCACTCAGCATTCTCCACACCAGTATCCATTATCCAGCTTGGCTCTCCCCAGCTTCCCCCCCATGGATTTTGGTGCACACCTTCCCCTTTCCCTGCCCTGCTTTCCTGGGCCACACAGCACAGTTCTGCGTCCCAGAGCAGCCTTTAACCACCATTTCTTCTTGCTCAGGATACGGATCGTGCACTTCATCCTGCACAACACGGTGACGCCTGACTTGGGTAAGGGAACAGATCACAGGGGTGATGCTCAGCCTGGACCTGCAGGCAGACTCCTGCCCTGTGGTGGGCACAGGCATCCCAGCCACCTTGCCACCCCAGGGAGGATGTAAATGGGGGGAGAAAGCTAGGGTGTAGCTCAGACAAGTCAATTTGGTGCTGCTTCCAGAGGCTGGGAGATTTGGACTGCAAGAAGCAGCAGTTCCTCTGCTCCCTCTCCTCAAATCCGTAACCCTCTCCCTTCTGCTCTGCTCCCAGAGAAGCTGAATGACCTGATGAAGAAAAAGGTGTTTGAGGCAGCGTTTCCTCTGCATGAGGTGAGGCTGAGCACATGGGTGCCTGGCAGGAAAATCCAGGAGAGGTGGAGGAGCAAGACAGGGTGGGAGAGACCTGTGGGTGACTGGGGCTGCCCCAGGAGCTCACTCGGGGAAGGGCACGGAAAAGCTCCCCGCAGCAGCCTCGGAGCCGGGCAGGGAATTACTGCACTGATATTCCTGTATCCAACCCATTTCTCTGCTCTCCAGAAGGAAGCAGTAAGGGAATTCCTCAAGGAGAAGTGGGCTCGCTGGAGAGGTCTATTTAACAAGCAGCCAATTGAGAAGATCAGGTAACATGGGCAGAAGAGGCAGAGCTTTGTAACCAAGAGGTCCCACCTGCGACCCAGAGAGCTTGATGACCTTTGCCAGGCTCCTGCCTTGTCTTTAAAAATCATCGCTTTGAAACTTAAAATCATACCTTTGAACAAGCACTGGGCTGCTCCTGAATCTTCCAAAGCTCTTAGCCTGAGGGTTATCCCTGTGGCTCCCAGCTCCATCTGCTAATCCTGCAGCATGAAACAACCCCCACGTCTGCACGGGTTTTAATTAACCCTCTCGGTTTTCAGCCACATTCAGAAGGCAGGAGAGGTGGGAATGGAGCATCAGTGCAGCAACCCAGCCTGAGGCTGACCTTGGGGCAGTAAAGGCAATGAGGGGCTCCCACAACCATATTAAATCCCAGAGAAGAGCACAGTTCTTATTTTTGAAAACGAGCTCCATGGGCAGGAGGGAAAAAACAACGTGTTACTTCATAAACCTGTGAAAGGATTCTGGTAGGGAGGGGAGATCTTAAAATGGAGGTGCTCTCACCTTCCTTAAACATTTCACATGTGTAGAAGAGGCGCTGGAGACTGCACAAGCTGATTTCTAAGGTCAGTGTGTCGTGACTTGTTGCTGTTGCACAAGGATTAAAGGGTTGAGTATTAAATTGGGGGTGGTGGTATGGGGAGGTGTTGAGGTTTTTGTTTAAACAAAGGCCAGGGAGCACATCACCACCTCTGACTGCCGGTAAAAAGTTAATTCCCCTGGTATACAGGAAGGGAGGCCGGTCCCTCAGTCAGTAGGTACCACTATTCTTACCCACACCTCCAACCCACTACCTACCCCATAAAAACCGAGATGCTGCCACTATGGGACATGGAAGCACTGCAGGGAGATGGCTGAGCCCAGGAGGAGGATTTGCTCTGGTCTGAGAAATCTTGCACCCCGCAGCCCTCCCATCCTCTTCAAGCCCAGTGTTTCTAAAATTGGAACCTGGTCTCTCAGCCTTTCCCTCCGTTCTCAGCATGAGGCCTATTTGACACCACGGAGACATAAAACAACAGCTGCTCTGCACACCCGGGCTGACTCTCCCAATCCCAAAGTCCCCAGACACTCAGACCCCCTGCCCCTCCCAGACACAAAATCCCTTGGGGGGGGGGGGGGATTGAAGAGCATTTTCTAGTGACCCCCAGCAACCTGGTCTCCCCTCTGACTGCAAACCCCATCTCACCTTTCCTCCCAGGTGCTATTTTGGTGAGAAGGTGGCCCTATACTTTGCCTGGCTGGGCTGGTACACCTACCTGCTGGTTTTTGCTGCGCTGGCAGGGTTTTTGACCTTCGTGGCTGGGATTACTCTCTTCAATTCCAGCCAGGTGAGGTAAGGCACTTGGGAATGCCAAATACACATGCCATTCACGAGTCTTTGCTCTGCAGGGAGCTCTGAGCCTCCATTATCCCCCTTTGCTCCCCTCCTGCTTGCTCTCCAGCAGGGAGATCTGTGAAGCCAACACCACCATCATGTGCCCGCTCTGCGACAAGAAGTGCCCGTACTGGGTCCTCTCTGACACCTGCACCTACGCCAAGGTAGGGAACCCCCTTCCCAAAGGCAGCCCCAAGGTAAAGGATGGGGAAACACTCCCGGCTTCTGCTGCTCCCACACCACTGGAAAGAAAACCCATCCCAGGCTACATTTTGTCTCTACCGAGGATGATTTTACCAGTAACGAGCCCCAGTGTCCATCACCTTCCTGCATTTTGCCCTCCTGCAGCACCCATACCTGTCTCAGGGGAGACCAGGGTGACAAGAGGATGGCTGAGCACACCCTGAGGTGCTGCAGCTCCTGCCCCTCCCTGCCCCATCACACTCTTCTTTCATCTCCTTCAGGTCACTCACATGATTGACAACGAGGCCACGGTCCTTTTTGCCATATTCATGGCCCTCTGGGGTAGGTGCCAACGTCTGGGTGCCCAGCACAAAGGGGTTGGGAGAGGGAGTAGGTGGTGGAAAGTAGGGCACCAATGCAGCTTCACCGTTCAGGATGAGTTTTAGCCCTTAACTCCTCCCCTTCCAGACACAGCAAGAGACAAAATCACCCTGGTGATATTCTCCACCTCCCCAAACACTCCTCACCTGCCCTACCTGAAGCTTCCACTCACCACAGCCTCCCCCAAAGCACCCAGCAGCCTCTGGCTGCACTTTTTTATCAGCTGCCTGTAAGTGGCCACAGCTGGAGGAAGGAGGGACATCCAGAGCCCTCCTCAGCCTTTCCAAATCACTTCATAGCTTCTTATTTGCTGTGGGATGATGGGATCCCATCATCACCTTAGCTACACAGTCATTTGGCTTTACCACGGTCCCCTCAGTTACCAACCACCACCAGTGTGGGCTGGGTGCCTACAGGTCACAGGCACAGTCCCGCGTGTAGCCATGGGCTGGGTTACACACGGTGAATCAGGAGGATCAGTCCAGATTAACAGGAGGGAAGCGGATTTGCAGGGGTGTAGCTGTGCCAGGGTGCAGTGCAGGACACCCATTCCACCTGAAAAGTGCATTTTTTGTCAGTCTCAAGTAACGTGTCTGGCTGGTGCCATGTGAACATGCTCAGCGCAGCAGGACAGCTCTGGGGCTCACTCTGGCTTACTCCAAATTCCCTATGGACATGAGAGCTGGCCTGACTGTCAGTGAAAGCTTACCTGCACCATCCCCATCCCCTCACTGCTCTATGTTCAGGGTCCTGCCAGCTCATCGACCTGTCCTTCACTGGCCAAGGGCAGTCCAGGCTGGTTGGCATGAGGTTGGATGTCACATGACTCTCCATCTTGCTCTGTGGGACAGAGGGGTGGCTTTCAGAGCCATCCCTGAGTGTCACTGCACTCTCTCCTTCCCAATCCAGCCACTGTGTTCCTGGAGCTGTGGAAGAGGCAGAGAGCCACTGTGGTCACCGACTGGGACCTGTACGGGTGGGATGAGGAAGAGGTGAGGACATCATCTTTCTTGCCCTGTGCTTTCCTCCTCAGGAGTCACTTGGACCTAGAAAAGACACGTTAGGAGTCCCTTGCCCAGCTTGAGCTCAGTCAAGCTTAGCCATGCTCTTGTGGCTTGGGTGCTTATCCTCTCCGTCCTTTTTTTTTTTTTTTTTTTTAATTTTATTTTTTAATTCATTTTTAAGGAGGAGCTGGCTATGGAGCTGATCAATAATATACAGCATGAACCCCGCACGTACCAGCACTCCTACTTCCGCAGCACCATCGTCCTCCTCTTAGTTCTGTTGATGGTACGTGACAAGTGACCACAGCAAGGTCTGGTTTAAGGGCTCGTGGGCTTCCTCCTTCCCTCCCTACTCTGAAATGCCTCAGAGCATCCTGTTGCTGGAGTAAAGGCAGAGACCAGGTTTTTAGGGTCAGTCTGTGCACATTACAAGGATCCAGGGGGTCCCTCACGTTCACACCTTGCTGTGCTGATGACAGGGGCTACATACCCTTCGGGAACCTGGGCTGAAGGCTCTGCTCTGGCAGCAAAGATCAAGCCAGTAACCCAGGCAGTAACAGGAAGAGGCAAATCTCAGTGTTCTTGTGCCCCTCTGTGGGCTGAGGGAGAGTCCAGACTGGTTCAGGTAGAGACATAGAATTCAGGAACCACAGAATGTTAAGGGCTGGAAGAGACCTTAAAGATCACCTAGTCCCAACCACCCTGCCCTGCACAGAGACCTCCCACTAGACCAGATTGCTCAAGTCCTTATCCAATCCAGTCTTGGACACTGCCAGGGTTGGAGCACCCAAACCCTCCCTGGACAAACTGTTCCAGGGTCTCACCACCCTCACAGTAAAGGATTTCTTCCTATTATTCAGCCTGAATTTCCCCTCTTTCAGTCTGCACCCATTGCCCCTTGCCCTACTTGCAACACCCGCCTCACAAACCTCCAGGAGCACGGGTTTGCCTTTGAGGCCGCACCCAGATCCCTGGTGGCCCTCAGGGCGGGATGGGGCACCTGCCCTTCCACGGCCTTCTCCCGTGATGTTCCCCTGCAGATCGCGGTGCTGATCGGCATCGCCCACGCGCTCGTCATCTACCGGGTGATCGCCAGGGCGCTGTTTGCCCAGAGCAGCCTGGGGCTGCTGCGGGAGCAGGCCGACACCGTGGCGGTGATGACGGGGGCCGTGCTGCACTACATCACCATCGTCATCATGACCAAGGTGCCGAGCGAGGCAGGCGGGGGGCCCCAGGGGGTCTCTTCCTGGCCTCACCGCCCTGCTCATGGTGTCCCTCTCTCCTGCAGATCAACAGGCGCGTGGCCCTCTTCCTCTGCAGCCTGGGTAAGGGAAACCAGGGGCATCTCCCGCCTGCACACCCGCGCCTGCAGCGCCGAGCTGCCCGGGGGTACCTGTGGCACAGCACCCCCCCAATTCCCAAATGCACCCAGGCTACCATTCCTTCCCCTTCCTCCACCTAGGATCCCTAGGCATCTCCCAGGAAGCTCCAGCCAGGCAGGTCCCCAGGGGAGGCCAGCGGCCCCAAAACACACACTCATCTGTGGCCCAGGTGCTGCCAGCTTTTGCTGCTCCACAGCCCCATTTTGCTTTGTAGGGACCTTCACCCTACAGGGCTGAGACCCAGCACAGGCAGGAAGGCAACACAGCTCCAGGGGAGCTCACAACGTGGGTTTCCTCCCAGCTGAAAGGCCCTTTTCCCCAGGCTCATGGTTCTGAGGGACATCCCTGCTCGGCTGGGCTCTCCTCTGTCAGAGGGCACAGATGGAGGGCAAAGACACCTTTCCAACCTTCACAGAGCTGCTGTGGCACCTGAGGGGGAACAAGGCAGGGTCCCACTGCTCTGTGACCAAGCCCCCGGGCCTTGCTCCCTTTCCTAGAGAAACCACGGACCTTCTCCCAGCGGGAGAACAACTTCACCTTGAAGATTTTTATCTTCCAGTTCTTCACAAACTTCTCCTCGCTCATCTACATTGCCTTCTTCCTGGGACGGTGAGTGGCAGCTGGGGGCAAGCAGCGGGCAGACGGGGCACATGTCCCCACCTCTCCCCAGAGTCCAGGGACAGACCCACCCCCCCGCCCTCCCTGCCAGGCACAGGGACCCCAATTTGGGACTCGGGGGGCCATGGCTCAACAGGTATTGCTGTTGTTGCTTCCTCGCCCAGGATCAACGGCCGCCCGGGGCACTACGTGCGCATTGCTGGCCGGTGGAGGCTGGAGGAGGTGAGGCACTCGCCCTGAAGCTCTCTGACCCCACAAACAACCCTCCTCTTCCTTTTCCTACTGCCCCTAGAGAGGCTCTGGGAATCTCAGCTTCCTCCCCTAGCAAAGGACCCCTTGGTCTTGCCCACCCTGCTTGCAGGGCACAACCCTTCTCCTCTCCTCCCTTCCAGTGCCACCCCAGCGGATGCATCACTGACCTCTTCATCCAGATGGCCATCATCATGCTGCTCAAGCAGACCATCAGCAACGTGATGGAGTATCTCATCCCGTAAGCTTCCCTTGCTGAAGCTCCTGCACAGCCAGGACACTGTCGCAGCTCTCACAGAGAGGAACCCTGGTCTTTGGGCCAGGGTGTCCTCCATTCCCTTCCCCCAGGGGTGTCCCAGCAGCAGACCAGCCCTGCTGTCCTCTGCAGCAGCCACACAAATCCCTCTGTCTTGCAGCTGGATAAGCCACAAGCTACGCAAGAAGCATAAGCACCCCCAGAAAAGGAGCATATTTTTGGGAGAGGAGGAGGAGGTTGAGGACCCCTGCAAAAGGCAGTGGCTGAGCAACTATGAGCTCAACGAGGTCAACGTCTTCAGCTTGTTCAACGAGTTCTTGGAGATGAGTATGTAGGGCCGGCGAGGAGGGTGCTGGGGCAGAGCCACGTGTGCTCCTTGGCTGGAGAGTGCTGGATGCTGGGGAAGGGATTCCTGTAGGGAAGGGAGAAATCTGAGCCCCACCTCCACACCCAGCCCCACTCTGAGAGCTCTGGCACACCAAGGAGATCATTCCCAAAGCAGATGGAGCAGGCATCTGTGCTGGTCTCACACCTTCCTCTCCTCCCACGGTGATGGCTGTAATCCCAGTGTGGTCCCTCAAACAGTGGGTCCCCACAGATCCCCCCTCTGACAGCCCCACGAGAGCTAGGGGTCCCCAGTGGGGGTGTGGGGTCCCTAAGGCATGCCTATGTCCCACTTCCACCCCTGCAAAGCCCCTCTCCCCCAAGCCACAAAGCAGGACAAACCCAGACAGCGTTACGGACCCTGGGGGACATCTGCTCTGCAGCAGCTTCACACCAGCACCTGGTGTCTCCCCCTTTGCAGTTATCCAGTACAGCTTCACCACCATCTTTGTCGCTGCCTTCCCCCTGGCCCCGTTCCTGGCGTTCCTCAACAACCTCTTCGAGATCCACCTGGACGCCATCAAGATGGTGCGGCTGCACCGGCGCTTGGTGCCCAGGAGGGCCAACGACATCGGTGAGGGGGGTCCACGGGCGCCCTCCTGCCAGCACTGCTGCTTGGGCCAATGGTGCTTAGCCCCTTCCCCAGAAGCCCCTGAACACCCCATGGAAGTAGGAGAGCATGGGGACAGCCGTGGGTTGGGGAAGGAGAAGCCGCTTCAGGCCCTGAAGAGGCTGAGGGGCAGCTTGGACTGGCCGTGCCAAACCTGTCTCTGAGATGGAGCTGGGGCTGCAGTGGGGTGGCAGAGGGGTCTCACCAGCTGCTCTTCTCCTGCAGGGATCTGGCTGCAGGTCCTGGAGGCCATCGGCATCCTAGCTGTCATCGGGAACGGGCTGGTGATTGCCATCACCTCCGATTTCATCCCAATGCAGGTCTACAAGTACATGTACAGCCCCTGTGTGGGGGAGAACCACACCGACGTGGAGTGAGTTCAGTCCCTGAGCAGACCCCACCTGCCCCAGTGCCACTACGGCAGGAGCACAGGGAAGCTGAGCTGTCCCCTAAAGTGGGGTGGGGGGAAAGGGGAGCAGGGCAGACTTTCCGGTGGCATCCTCTTCAGCATCCCCAGCTGGCCTCCCACTCACTGTGTAACATGGGAGAGCTGCAGGACTGCAGAGATGCCAGCTCACACTCTCTCCTGCCCTCCCCCTGTTCCTTCAAGCCTTCCCTGAATGACCCAGAGCAGTCAAACTAGACAGAAGTCTCAGAGACCTCCATTTCCCCCAGGCTGTGTGAAAATGGGGAGGGAGGGAGGAGAAAGAGAGGCCCAGGTGGGTGCTGGCTCCCCCAAAATGGGAGGTTACAGTGCTTAACCACACTACAAGTCACCCGAGAACCCACACACCAGGGAAACCTTAGAAATGAAAGCTGCAGACAGATGGGCTTTGTTGCCACCTGGGGACCTCTGAGCTCCCCAGAAGGGACAAAAGCTGCTTGGCTTAGGGCCTCCCACAGCCCCCCAAAATGGCCACAAACCCAGTCCTTCCCTGCAGCTGCTCCACGGGGTACATCAACCACAGCCTCTCCGTCTTCCGCATCCGGGATTTCGAGCCCGACATGGGTATGCCTGAGATGCTGCCGAACTTTGACAGGGATGAGATCACGGAATGCAGGTGAGAGCAGCCCCCACCACACCCTGTGCCCCTCACCGTTACATCCGGCCTGTGGCCAGGGCGTGGGTGGGTGACGGAGCTGGAGGCAGCTGGGGGAAGCTGCTGGGGCTCTTCTCTGACCCCCACGGAGGGAGCCAAGGCAGGGTGTGACGCCTGGCACAGAGGAGCATGGGCTGGCACTGATGGGGCTGTGCTGCAGGTACCGGGATTACCGGCACGCTGATGACTACACCTACACCATACAGTTCTGGCACATCTTCGCTGCCCGGCTTGCCTTCCTCATCATCTTCGAGGTGAGCACCCAGGAGGACAGGAGAGGGCTGGGACAGGGGGAAGGGACTGGGTGCAGGCCCCTTGCCCTGGCTGGGAGCCCCTGACTGCCTTTGCTCCCTGCAGCACGTGGCTCTGTGTGTTAAGCTGATCGCAGCCTGGTACATCCCTGACGTCCCCCAGAAGGTCAAGAATGAGCTTCTGTCCAGAAAACACAGTGACCTTCGTAAAGAACTGAGGTGAGTGATGCCCCAGAAGGTGCCAGGGAGATGGTCCACCCTGTAGCAGGAGATCTGCAGGATCTGTCCATTCCAGAGCCCCATTCCCTTTGGAAAAAGAAAAGCTCCAAGTTAAAATAAGGAGTGATTTTGCCCAGCTTTTCCATCTAAACTTTGTTTAATATAAAAGGATTAAGTATTTAAGCAGAAAATGGAAGCAATGTAAACAAGAGCCTCAGGCTGGGCCACCCTGGTGCTGCTGTCCCCCACAGACTGAGCCCCACTCTCGGGAGGGCTCAGCCTGCCCCCCTTCACGGCCACCCTGTCCCAACTGCCACCCATAATCCCAGTGGGAGCAGAGAGTGGGGTTCAGGAAGCACCACACTGCTACAGTTCAGCTTCCTAGCTCTGCCTTCCCCTTGACTGCAGGATTTCCCCCGAACAGGGGTTTCCCACAGCCTGTCATTTTTCCTCTGGTTATTTTTGGCAAAAGGCTCCATTTCCACTCGGAGTGTTTTCCATACCTCCAGTTCAGACAGTTCTCTTACCCTCTCCTCTCTCCCCAGCATGATGGAGTACTCCACCGAGGTGTAACTGCTGCTTACCGAGGAGAACACGGAGTCGAGCCCCCTCCCCAGCCTGGCAGTGCCGTGGGTGCTGGATGAACTCCCGGCACAGTGCCACATCTGGCAGCACTAGACTTGAACTGGGAAGTGATGCTGAGACAGTGGCTTTGCAGGAGCAGGATGTTTTCTGACTTGGAAAGGAAGGATGCTGTGGCAGAGCTGGGATGTGCCTCCCCTGCACATGGAGTAGCTGGGGCAGAGCTGTGGCATGGGGGACAAACCTGGCTGGGCTGCAGGAGGCGACCTGAGTCCTCCTCACTCACTGCCTTAAGCACAGGAAACACCAGTTACCTCATTTCAGGTTCCCTCTTCAGGCCTTTTTTTGCACTTTGGCCTTTTTTTCCACTGCCTTCCGTGACCTCCCCATTTCAGAGTCCCTCTTTCACTGCAGTCCTCCTCGGCACGACTCCCACATGGCTGCAGCTCCGACCTGCTGTTTCCCTGGAAAAAATGCTGTTGTTATCCTGACTGAGTTTAGCTCCAGGCTCAGCTGAGTCCTGACAGTTGTGCCTGGCTCAACTACCACCAGCAAACAGTAAATAAACACAACCCACGTGCGGACACACAGACTTTTACCTGGTGCCTGGTGTTGCTTCTGCCTTCCTCCTCTGCCATCCCCAACACCCAAAGAAATTTTGCCCCAAACCTTTCCTTGTCTCACTGGGGACAATCATAACAGGTGGGAGCTGCAGTGCCCCTGGTGAGACACCAGATTTTGGCACTTCAGCCATGTACAGTAGGAAAACAGCCTCGTAAGTGTGCCAGAATAATGGAAATAACCGAGAAAGTTGGGGAAAAAATCAGCAAACCTGAAGTGGCAAGGCTAGCAATAGTTATCCTACCTCTTCCCTTAGTGCTGGGCCACCCCTTCTCTGACTTCTGCAGACAGAAGGGGTTTGTCTCCAGCAGGATTGGGATCCCACCCCAGGGCTGGATGGGTGCCACAGCTCCAGGGGGCTGATGAGTGATCCAGAGGCAGAGCTGAGGATCTCTTACCTACCACAGGGATAACCCTGAGGGACAAAAAGGGTCTTATCAGCTCCGTATTTGCTCCCAAACCTCCTCACACCCTTGCCATCCCCAGGACCTGGGCTTGTTCCATGTGATCCTTTACTATCCCACAAATCCAACAGGCTTACGCTGGATTTCACTGCCAGTGCATCACAATGTCCATGACACGTGTTTAGCAGTGCAGTCCCCCCAGAAAGGGCTGCTCCATCAGCTGCTGCCCCAGACACACACAGCCAACAGCTCTGGGGCACAGGAGCGGGGCATTCTTCCTAGAGCTCCAGTGGGGTTCCCTCTGTTCCTTTTCCCCCCACAACAAGCCAACAGCAGAGATATTTCATACCAAAACCAAGGAGGAGCCAGAGCGTTTCTCCATGTGAACAGGTTCTGTTCTGTTCACAGAACAGACCTGCCTGTGACCTGTACCTGTCTATTCTGTACATATACATATATAAACACATACACACACCGTACCCAGGGCCCTTTTCTTCCCTTTTTGGCCCCAAAGCACATTTCAGCTGATGCTTTTGCTGCTCAGCACCTGCAGTTCATGTCGGTGTTTCTCCAGAGGCTGGTGGTGCTGCCGCAGTGACCAACCCGCGCCTGGGGTGTGCTGAGGCTCTAATCACCTCCTCGGTAATTAGTTCAGGTGATACTGTTGTCCACAAGTGGCCACAGCCAGATCCAGCTCCCCACAGCCAGTGCCAGCTGGAGCAGCCACCTCCAGTACTGGCTCCAACCAGCAAAGAGCCTCTAAAGTCACAGAGGGAAGGAAACAGAGAAAACAGGAGACCCCACAATGCCCGTGGGCACAGCCAGCAGCCTCCCCCAGCCCCTAGTAACTCACCTCTGTGGAGCCAGAGAGTGTCAAGTTTGACAGTGCACAGCACACCATGACCCCAAAGTGCAGTCCCCAGCTCCAACCCATCCCCTGGAACACCCCCCAACACCCTCCGTGCCTGGTGGTGGTGGGAAATGGGGTGGGTTTCATCTTTCCCTGACACCACAGCAGACTTTTCCACCTTGGCCCCCAAGCCTGCTGCCACTTGCATGTGCCTGGCAGGCTGGGCGGGTTGTTGCCCCCCTATTCTTTTCTCCTTTATTCTCTCTTTTCCCCTCCCCTGAAGCCAGAGCTGTTTTTTTTTTTCCCTGCAGGTTCAGGTGGAGGTGGAGCAGCAGGAGGGAGGGACTGCCAACCCTTCCCACAGGCCTGGAGCCCGGCGATTGGGGCGGTGGCAGCGCCCAGCCGAGGGCAGGGGCTGAACCGGGAGGAGAAATAGATAAAATATTAAAACAAAAGAAAAAGAGAAAACCCGAGCACTGACCTGGCCGGTCCAGTCGGCTCGAGCAGGAGGGGACGGGCAGGAAGCCTGAGGCCGAGGAAGCTCCAAAGGTAAACGCAGCTCTGTTCCACTTCCCTTTCCGCGCCGATGCCGCCTCGGACAGGGTCAGCAGGGTTTCAACCTCACCCCACGCCCTGTGGTTCTCCTCGGGTTCTCCTTCACTCTCCTCTGGTTTTTCTCTGGCTCTCCATGCTGATTTCTCCTGCACCACAACCCCCTTGGCCACCATGCCTCCCTGCCTGCCTCGCTTTCCCCATGCCTGAGCTCCAGGGAACGCTGCCCCCCCAGCCGGCACCCACCACCCCATGGCATCCACACGGTTCTCTGCCTCAAATCAGGTGTGTCCTCAAAACCAAGACATGGGAAATGGGAGCTGCAGCTGCCTGTTAGCGGGCACTCCTCCTTCCTCTGCACTCAGCAGCCCTGGCACTCACTCCCCTGGTGGGCATCCAGCACTGTGTCAGGAGCAGGGGGGCCCTCGGGACCTCCCCACACTCCCTGGCCAGGCTGAAGCTTGTGGGGCTTCCTTACTTCAACCATCTGAGGGAAATGATTTAGGAGTGACCCATCCAGGCTGGAGTGAGCAGAGCTGGAGCATCCTGCCAGGCAGAGACAGCCCCATGCCACCCTGGTGAGGGTCTCTCATTCCTTCTGCATGCGAAATCCAGGGGGGCTGGCTCTCCTCCATCCCTTGCTCTTCCTTTCCTGGCCATGGAGAAACCCAGTTAATCCCTTAGGTACAAATCACTTCGCAGCTGCTCAAGCTGAACACATAACACGCGTTCCCCGCGTACCTTGACCCCCTGTTTAACCCCAGACTGGTCCTGGGCTGTGCCAGAGGGGAGCACCATGCCACCATCCCTGCGCTGAGCACCACAGAGCTTCCCCTTCCACACCAGCAGACACAGCTTTTCCAGAGGCTGAGCCCAGCCCTGCTGCCACCCAAAATCAGGGAGCAGCTGAGAGTGCCAAAGCTCCAGGGAGAAGATGCCACTGGGAGAGGTTTTCCCCCCTCCTGACCCCCAGAGTTAGGCCAGGTGTTTACGATAGAAACACAGCACCGTGACATCCTTGAAACTCCCACCTCAGCCCTGGCACCCCCATCACCCACACCAGGGCTCTGTGAGTGTTTGGGGATGGCAGAGCCTGACCTTGCCAGGATCTGCTCTGCCATCTGCTCCCGGTATCTGCCTCTTCCCACGAGGCGATGGTACTGACACCGCTGCCCATTATATGTGTGTGGGGGGTGTCTCTGTGTGCCATCCCTGTGCTCTCCACTTTTGCCTGGCATGTTGTGCAGCTGTGCCAATCCCTGGCCACAGCCAGGGGGTAGCAACCGGACACACCGGGAACACGGCACCCGCAGGAGGAGCTCTCCAGGTGGGAGCTGCCTTTCCAGAAACAAACTAATTCCTGCTGTCAGTTAGCGAGTTCAAGGGCATGTCAGGCTGGAGGCAACTGTGCAGCTCATGGCAGGCGTGGTAGGCAAAGGGGGTCCTGCTGAGCCCTCCCAAGGCCTCATTTCCTGGGAAGGTGCTGCACACCCTCTGGCTGAGCTCGCTTCCCCTCCCCGGTCTCGGGTTTGAGCTGAAGCCGCGTTCTTAACATCCCACAGCACCTGGTTGGTCATTAATCACCTCCCACCTGTAAATTCTCTGTTGGGAAAGCCAGGCTGGGAGTCAGTGCAGGGAGGGCAGGTGACACGGTGGCCACCATGCTGTGGGTGGGACTTTGGCTTTACCACAGAGCATCACCCACCACCCCCAGACTGAACTGCTGCAGGGACTGATGGAGACAGGTGGGAGCTCCCGAAGCAGGCAGCGCTCATAGATCCATTCCTGGTCTCTCCCAGGCCCAGCCTGCCCTGTGGCAGAGGCAGGTGGACTTTGCCCCTCCGGAAGACGCTGCACACAGGGGCCTCCGGGGATGCCGGCAGCGCCCGTCACCTGAGCACGCCATGGCAGGTAAGTAAAACCCAAACTCTCACCTGCTCTCAGCTGGGAAGGGTCCCTGTGCAGGCACAGCTGGGGGTCCTGCTCTGGCTTCACCTCATGGAGCAGGCGAGGGTCCAGCCCAGCCCCCAAAACCAGCTCAGCCTGTTGCTAAACAGCCCCGAGCGCTGCTTGCTGCCAGACTCCCATGGCAGAGCTTGTTTTTCTGAGATGGCTACAACAGCAGGGAGCTGGATCAGCTGTCCCATCCAAAGCCCCTCCTTGCTGTGCCCCCAGACCTCTGCAGCAGGCCCCCCGAAATCCTGGTCCCGGCTGCCAATGAGACGCTGCAGCTGACGCTGGGGAGCCAGGTCGGGCTGAACTGCACCGTGCGCTGGGCCGGGGCCGAGAGCTGCCGGCCCATCCCTGCCTGGAGCAAGGATGGGCAGTGGCTGGGCAACGGGAGCAGCCAGGACACTGCCTGGTAAGGAGCCTGCCCTGGGGACATCCATCCATCCGGGGGCGGGGGGGGAGAGTCATCACACAGCCCAACCCATGGCGGCCCCATCTCCCCTCAGGTCTGCCCAAAACATCTCGGAGCAGTTCCTGGCCACTGTCCTGCACCTCAACCTCACCCACGATGCCGACTTTGGGGTGTTTGCCTGCTGGCTCAGCAACGCCACAGCCACCTTCACCCTGCAGCGAGCGGGTAGGGACAGGCTGGGGACAGGGAGGGGACACCCCCCATGGAGAACCCATGTGCCATGGGGCATTGACGCGCGTAATAGGGGCACTGCTGCCTCTCCCAGGGTGCAAATCTACACCAAACCCAAAAAACCCAGGCCAAGGCCACCAGCCACACTCACCGCGTCCTTCCCTGTCCTCACAGAGACAGCGGGGCACGTGCCGGCGGTGCTGGCAGCCCTCCTGGTCCTGGCACTCCTGGTGCTCCTGGCTGTGCTCTATGTCCGGTGCCGCCTGAACGTGCTCCTCTGGTACCGGAACCACTACGGCGAGCTGGAGATCAATGGTGAGCCGGGGGGAACAGCTCCCCTGGGAACAGCCCACCCTGGTCCAGGGGCTCACAGACCCCTCTCTGTGTTCCCCCCTGCCCCGTGGATCTCCCCAGACGGGAAGTTGTACGACGCCTACGTCTCCCATGCCACCGCCCCTGACGACCGAAAGTTCGTGCACTTCATCGTGAAGCCGCAGCTGGAGAACCGCTACGGCTACAAGCTCTTCCTGGACGAGCAGAACATCCTGCCCAACTCAGGTAGGCACCAGCCCCGCATGGGGCTGGGCAGGGGGTCACACGGGTGCCCATGAGCTTCAGACCCCTTTGCCCACAGAGCCATCAGCCGACCTGATTATGAATGTCAGCCGGTGCCGGCGCCTCATCGTGGTCCTCTCTGTCGCGTACCTGGAGCAGGACTGGTGCAACAGCAGCTTCAGGTAGAGGTGGAGCAGCTCCCGGGGAAGAAGAGAGGGGCTGGTGGGTCCTTCACCCCTCTGGCACATACCTGTCTTGCAGGGAAGGGCTCTGGAGGCTACTGGAGCTTTCCAGGAAACCCATCTTCATCGTCTTCGAGAGCCAGTACCGGGAGATCACCCACCCTGCCATCACCCTGCTGAAGCAGCACCGGAACACCGTGACCCTGCTGGTGTGGCGATCTGGCTCCATGGTGAGCTCTGAGCTGGATCCTGACCCACTGGCACCCCCTTTCCATCCCCAGCACCCCTCTGTGTCAGCCTTCTGTGTCAGCCTCCCTGCTGCCCTCTGGGGCTGCTCCATGGTGAGAGCTCAGCAGGACCAATCCCAGCAGCACCCCACTTCCGTTCCCAGCTCCCCATTTTGTGTCAGCCTCCCTCTGGGGCTGCTCCCCAGGCTCCAATGCTAAAGAGCAGCTTGGGGCACTTGTCTTTTAGAGGCAATTTAAAAATGCAACCAGAACAGCCCTGGATCTGGGTGCTTACCCCCAAACCTGCACAGTCAGGGCCCTGTTGCGTTCCAGGGTCTCTCCAGCCCCAGCTGTCGGAGCGGAGCTTTGGCCCTCAGCCGCTCCGGCCATTTCAGGGCCAGGCTGGGAGCTGGAGCCCCGAGGAGTGTTCCAGCAGGTCAGGCCGGTTTCTCTGCCGGCGCATGGGCACGATGCCACACTGGAGCACAGCCCTCACCTTGGCTGAGCTCCCACCATCAGGAAGAACGAGCTGAGGCTGTGAAACCCTCCCCAGCACCGTGTGGGGCCAGGCTCGGCTCTGCCTTGGTCCCAGCACAGGTCATCTTCCCCTCTGACCCTGCAGACCCCGTCGTCGGACTTCTGGAAGGAGCTGTGCCTGGCCCTGCCACGCAAAGTGTCCTTCCAGGGCAGCGTGGGGGACCCACAGACCCAGCTGCAGGAGGACAAGGACCCCATGCTGATCCTGCACAGCAGCTACCTGGACAGCACAGGAGACCTCGATCCGGATGGAGACCTTGGCACAGGTCCGTGTCTCCCGCTGTTCCTCCTGGGGGGACAGTTGTGTGCTGGAGGTCACGTCTGGGCTTTGCCACTCCTTCTTGTGGCAGCAGACTGGGTCCAGCTCCTTCTCTCCGCCTCCTAAATCCATCTCCCTGCTCCTGCCAGGCCTCCGAGGGCGCATCTTTGGAAGCCCCCCGCCCCCCCGCCTCAGCACCCCCAGGACTCCAGCTGTTGGTGGGATGGAGGACGTGCAGCTCCGGGACAGCCACAGGCCCGAGCTCGATGTCTCGGACCTGGGATCGCGCAACTACAGCGCCCGCACTGATTTCTACTGCCTGGTGACAGAGGATGACATCTGAGCAGAGCCACAGGCCAGAGACACGGTGTTCCCGTATGTCCCGTGGGGACATACAGACCAGGTCACGGCAGAGGAGCCCCGGCGTTACGATGGGACCAGAGCCACGGTCGTGGTGGGAAAGCAGAAGCTGGCTCTGCGGTGGAAAACCATCACCAGGAACACCCTGCCCACAGCACCACCCCTGAGTGCTGGGCCCCATCCCTCGCCATGGGTGGCAGGGACATTCTTCCTGCATGATGGACAAGCACTGGGATGGGTGATGCCCTCCAAAGAGCAACTGTGCCCCAGCCTCAGGGAGTGCCAGGCGGGAGTGGCGGCGGCACCTCTGTCCCACGGGAACCCCGTGGCAATAAAAGGCTGCTGCACCCACTGGGTCCATCCATGGCGTGGACAGGGGTGACACAGGGTGGGGCTTTCCCTACCATAGGCAGCAGGATGGGCAGCTCTGTGCTGTGTCCCTCCCACACCAGCGTCCCTGTCACACTGACTCAGAGCCACGCTGGGCACAGTGAGTGGGGTGGCACTGTGGGGTGAGCTCACCCCATGCTGGCTACCCCGAGGTCCTGGTGTACCCGGGGTGCTGTCCCTCCTCCCACTTGCCAGCCAAGCACAGGGCCAGGTGGGCATCATTCAAGGCCTTTATTTCAGGGGTACACAGGGTTCAGGAGGTTTGTACACAGAGAGCTGGGGAGGCAAACACTCCAGGAGCCCTAGCCAGGACCGCGCCGGGTGTTGCTCACTGAGGGGGCCACACTAGCCCCGGATGCAGCCCTTCTGGCAGCATCACCCACTTCCCCAAACCCTCCCACCCCTCTACCTACTCTACCTCGTTTTCCCCCGGGGTATGCTGTGCCCCCCAAGCGCAGGGGCTCCCTTCAGCCCCAAACCTGCTGGCAGCCCGAAGCCACCCCACAGCCCACCTGAGCTTTGGACCTGCTGCCCCGCCTGTGCCCAGCACCGAGGCAGCCGGGGGCACTGGGGGCATCTCCCCACCCACGGGGCGATGCCGCTCAGCAAACACGACCCAGCCGGCCCTGCCCAGATCCCGCTCCTGCCGTGCCAGCCGGGCCCAGCCCTGGCAGCAGCTGGCGAGGAGCGGCAGTGGCGGCTCTGCCACACTGGGACAGTCCCCACAGGGTGACAGATGGGCTCCAGGGACACCACAGCTTCCTGCAGTGAGGGCACAGGCAGTCCCAGTCACACACATCCCTCTACCCGACAACACTGGCAAAGGGGGCACACAGCACTACATCACCAACGTTGCTTCCCAGCTCCCTGCAGCCGCCGTGCCACCCCAGAAACTGTGGGAAGCCACCTCAGAGCCCTCTAAGCCCCCCAAGCCATGCAAAGCCCCGTCCCCACCCAGCTGGGGCACAGCACATGTATTCCACAGCACAGCCTGCACTGGCACAGGGCACCGACACCCACCCAGCCCCGCGGCGCAGGGAGCTGGGATGAAGCAGCTCTGAAAGCCCCCCTGACCCAGCGCTGCTCTACAGGAGCCTTCCCAAATTCCTGTGGTTCCTCCCCCTCTGTCAAGCTGCAGGACAAGCCAAATTTTGCACCCTGAGGGTGGGGAGGGTTCCCAAGGGGTACTGTGAGGCAGACCCCTACTAATGGGGTCCCTATGAGGCCCCACAGCAGAGCCAAAAGCAGCTTCTGGGTTTAAGGCTGGGCAGGAGGGAGGACAAGTGTCCCTCAGCAAGGGAAGGGGACCCAGCAGAGGAGAGAGGCACATGGGATGTGGTGGGAACTAGGCTATGGAGGGGGGGTCTGATGGCGAGCAGCCTCCCCAGGGCATGGCTGGCAGCATGGAGCGTCCCAGCAGGGCATTCCAGCTCCCAGGGTGTCCTCACAGGCTGAGGAAGTCCTCCTTCCGGTACCCCTTCTGCAAGGAGACAGAATCCCATCACACGGGGCAGTGGGAATAGGCACATGGACCCCTCTGCTCCAGCACCCACAGGCCATGCTGTCCCCACGCAGGGCTGTCCCCACCCCATCTGCACAAGGACAATGCTCTGGGATGTCCCCACCTCTCAGAAGGGGCAGGCATGGAGTGGGGACCCACCATGTGCTGGGAAGCACTTGGGTGGTGTGGCTCTCCAGGGTGAATCCCCTGGCCCTGATTCCCTCAGGATCCCCCCTCAGAATCCCCACAAGGATACATGAAGCTCCAGAATGGGTACATACCATCTTGAAGTCCCGGTGGAGCTTGGTATACTGCCACATGTTTCCCAGGAGACTCGCTGCGGCCCGGGAGGACTTCTCGTTGTCCGAGCTGGGACAGGGACAGGATGCAATGAGCTTTGGGGATGGCGGAGCCCACCAGCCCCAAGGAGACCACCCTAGAGGGGCCCAGAGGGACTGGGGGCTCTCAGGTGGGGAGAGGCAGGAGGTGAGAGGCTGGGGCCCAGGGAGCTCCCACCTGTCCCGTCGCTTCTTGATGAAGAAGAGCTTCCTGAGGCCGTCGAAGTAGACGATGTCACGGGCAGCCATGGGGCTCTCCACCACCAGGTTGTTGAGCACGGCGATGATGTTCACAATGACATCGGCGGGCGGTGCCTTGTCCCCCACGCTCCCTGGCAGCTTCTCGATCAGGTGGCTGACCACCTTGGTGGCTGTGGGCAAAGGGCACGTCAGGGCTGGTGGCCAGACCCAGGAGAATGCGGCAGTCCCCGGGGTGCAAGGCGGGGACAGAGTAGAGCCGTGTCTGGGAACAGGGAATGGACCAGCCCACATGCTCAGCTGTGAGCAGGGATGGAGCAGGCAGGATGGGGCTGGGGTTAACTGGAGACCAGACTGAGGAGGAAAAGGTTGCAAGGCACCCATTGGGCACCACCCCGCCCCAGCCTTGCATGCCCCCTGGGACTCACACATCTCATCCTTGTTGCGGGCATGGCGGGACAGGTTGCGGATGAGCCCGGTCAGGGAGCGCAGCTGGTGGTGGTCGGCGGTGCGGACACGGTCCAGAACGGGGTTCAGGATGCGCTCCTGCTCCAGCGCCAGACGGCTCAGCACCCCTGCCCACTGGCAAGGCAAACACACCTGCGTGGAGCCTCCCACGGGCACTCACCACTCCTCCTCCACTTCTTTCTCCTCTTCCTCCTCCCCTTCTTCCTCCCCATCCCTGAGGCAGGTCGGTGTGATCCCTGCCCGGGTGATGACCCAGGAGAGGAGGTGCCTCCCCTTCCCGGAGGTGTCCCCCATACCCAGGCACAGTTGTGACGGCCACATGGTGAGGACCACCAGGCTCTCCCTGGGCACCCCTGCTCCTCACCCTGCGGTCCCCGGCTGTGATGTTTTGCAGGGCGCCCGAGGCCGCCTCCGTCGTGTGCTTGTTGAGCTCGCAGCGCTGCAGCAGCCGGTTGTAGATGCCGACGATCTGCGGGTTCCAGAGCCACTCCATCCCCTTGGGGTCCTTGGAGACCTCCGTGAAGGTGACGATGTCCGCGTTCAGGTAGTGCTGTGGGACGGGGGCACCGTTAGACTCAGGAGGTAGCCCCTCCGCAGTGCCCCTCATTGCCAGAGTCCCCTCTTGCCTGCCTGGGCAGGGACCTGGCAGGTCACCCTGGCTGCGTCATGCCCCGTGGTGTGGAAAAGCGGGGGTTCAGCACCCTGATTCACCCCAAACACCTGATTCACCCTCTGCTGAGCTCACCCGTGTGTCCCACCCACCCGCAGAGGCTGGCATCCACCTCCGCCCCAGCACTACCTCTGCTGCCAGTGCTTCCCAGCGCCAACCCCACCCCGGTGACAGGGCCACCACATGCCCCCCACTGACCTCACGGGCTTTCTTGCTCTGGGGGCTGAAGCAGCCCACCAGCTCCCCTGTCATCGTGCCACCAGCGCTCCTCCTGTGGCCCTCGAGGCGCTGGAGCGAGGACGGGGGCATCTCGTCGTACAGGCGGTAGGAGAGGTTCCGCAGGACACAGACTGCATTCTCCACACTCTGGCAGGGAGATGGGACATGATGGCGCCATCCTGTGCCACCTGCCAGGTTGTCCCCTGCTGGCACAGCCTCTGGGGTGCAATCCTGTGGGGCTCCATGGCCAGCCAAGGCACCGGCTGTCCCTGCTGTGCCCAGGGAGCCCGGATGGAGCCGGGCTGGCTCTCCCACCATCACATCAAGATATGCCTTTGCACCACAACAGCACCTCAGCCCCCCCAGCACCCAGGGCCTCACCTTGTCCTCTGACTTCCCCACTTCCAGGGAGCTATTCACGTAGTGGATCATGGAGTCCACCAGCCCATGGCACTCACGCATCTTCTGCCGGGTCTGTTGGCTGGCAGAGCTCAAGTTCCTGCACAGGAATGGGGGTCAGTCTCAGAGAGAAAAGGATTCCCTGCAGCCCCCTCCTGCCCCAGGAACCCCATGGAGCGGGCAGCTGGTACCTCTCCATGGGGCTGACCAGACTTTGCCAGGATACACAAGTGGGAGGGACCCCAGAAACAAGCCCTGCAGACCCTGCTCTTACATCTCTTCCTCAGCCCAAAACTTTGCCCTCAGTGGGAGGACCCAGAGCAGGTACCTGAGGAAGCCCGTGGAGTTATAAAAGATCTCTGCCTCTGAGGGGTTCTGCTGGATGACACCTGAGCCCCCCAGCCCAGAGAGGGGGACCAGGACCAGGTCTGTGAGCTGCTCCAGCGTGTCCCGTGCCAGGCGATCCTTCAGGTTGTCGCTGGAGGAGAGATTCCACAGGATCCCTGCACAGAGGGGGATCCTCAGCTCCAGAATGGCTGGAAAGCACATCCAACCCAACTCACCTCCCTAGGGGGGCTCATACCGACCAGCCACAGCCAGGAGCAGTCGTGGGGCAGGGCGGGTGACAAAGGATGCAGAGGGGTCAGCCCCATGCAGCATCATCCCAGCTCTGCTCACAGGGCGGGAGGGGGGAGTACAGTGCCACCCCCGGGGCAGGGGGACCCCCGCCCACTCTGCTGTTGTCCCCAACCTGTGACGTTCTTGCGGAGCTCGTCGTCGGGTTCTCTCAGTGTGCGCATGAGCTCGTAGATGCCATTCTCCTCCACCAGCGCCAGCTTGTTCTCGGCATTGTCATAGATGAGGTTGCGCATGGCGCCGGTGGCGTGGCGCTGCACCTCCTGGTTAGGGCTGTTGAACAGCTTCACCAGCTTGGGCATGGCCTGCAGGCTGCGGGCCTGGGGGACAGCCCTGGGGGTCAGACACACCACACTCCCAGGGCTCCCTCCAGCCCTTCCTCCCCCCTGGGGCGCCCGCCGCGGTGGAGGGGCTGGTGCACCCCCTTCTCCCATGGCTCCAGGAGCTCACCTGCTTCTTGGCACTGCTGTCGCTGTAGCACTTGTGCTGCAGGTAGGCAGCGCCCAGCACCTGCAGGTTGGGGTCGCTGGCTATCAGGTACTTCACTGCTGAGGGCAGGTCAATGTCGTCAAACCTGGAAGCACAGCCAGGTGAGAGGGAGCCCCAGCACAGTGTACCGCAGGGTTCTCCACCCACTGCATCCCGCTTCTCCAAGGAGCCCCACCAACCCTTCTCCCTCTCCGCCACATCCCACATCTCCCAGGAGCCTCCCAGCTCATCTCCTTGCACTGCGCTCCAGGGCGTGGGACTCCAGTCCCAGTAGGGTGAACACCTACCTTCCCCTGTGTCTCAGGATATGTCCAGGAAGGAGCCAAGGCTGCAGGCAGGACACACTCAGAGGTCAGCCCGTGTTATGGGACTAAACTGTGCTCACCATCCCACCCCTCCTCCCGCATGCCTTGTGCCTGGTGGGAGCTGGAGGGGTTCACCCTCATGGGACCAGTACTAAGTGTCCCCGGAGTGGTCCTGTGGCACTCACCCCCCGGCGTGGTGCCCAAGCAGCGTTCCATGCCCATTGTACATCTCCATGGCGCGCGGCTCCGGGAGGTGGTGGCCAGACTCGGCCAGGCTGCGCACGGAGGGGGCACGGGAGCTGTGCTCCCCCAGCCCCAGGAAGGCGCCCGTGCCGCCCGCGGACACTCCGCCGAAGGAGCCAGCGCTCAGCCGCGAGCGGTTGTTGCTCTGGAAGCGCTGGAGCGTCCGCATGGCAGGCGCACGGATAGTGCGGCTCGGCGGCCCCTCAGCGCCCTCCAACCACTTGCAGCCGGCCTTGGCGGCTGTGCCGGCGCTCAGCTGCCGCTCGAAGGCAAAGGAACGGGCGAAGCCGCCGCCACCCTGGCTCTTGTAAAACGGGCGGTCCAGCTGCTCCGAGAGGACGCTGTAGCGGTCGTCGGCGAGGCCGGGGGGCTGGAGCGGCCCGTCAGCCAGGCGCAGGGAGCGCAGCGACAGTGTGTCGAAGTTCTGCCGGCAGCGGTAGTTGCGCTCGTGGAAGGAGCTGGGCCGTGGAGATGTGCTGGCCGCCTGTGAGGCCGCGTAGCTGGCGCCGTAGCCCCGCGCCTTGCCCAGGCCCCCGTTGCTGATGGTGGCCACGCGCTTGTGCGGGGTGAGGTCCACGGCCGAGCGAGAGGACCAGCCGCTGCCCCGTAGGGTGCCGAAATCCTTCTTGGCCAGTGGCTGGTACAGCTAGGGGGGGAAAGTAAGGGCTTAGGAGGGGCAAGAGTCCATCCCTGCGTCCCCACTGTGGGAGAGGAAAGGATGGAGCCCAGAGCACTCCTCAGCACAACCAAAAAAGCTACAGCCCAGGCTAGGTCTCTGCCGGCATCCCCAGCCAGCTCAGTGATAGGCACCAGCACGGGGTGGGGGACAAACCCCCCCATACATACCGAGGCTTTGGGGTCCACACCATTACTCTGGGAGCGGGAGCTGAAGGAGGAGTGCAGGGTCGTGCCGTACTGACCACCTGAGGGATGGTGACAGAGGGGTCAACACAAGCATGGAGGGGTTAAAGGGAGGCCTAGGAATCAAAAGACCTCCCGCCAGCTCATCCCAGGGGGAACTGCTATGGGAGCCATGGCAGCACCAGCGGCGCTGTGGGGATGAAGGAG